GCACCAAGCGCGGTAGCCGTGGCGCATCAGGCCCGTCGGCAGTGGCCGCGGCGACGGCGGTTGAGATTGACCGTGCCGTACGGCCCCGTCGGGAGCGCCGCGTGCCGAAGCACCTCTTAGACACGGAAATGGAGCTTGCAGAGGAGATGCAGCAAGTGGTCGCGGGTGCGGCAGCGGCAGATGCAGCGCCGCCGCCGCCGCCGCCGCCGCCATCTTCGCCGACGGCGCTTGCTGCCTCAAGTGCGGCCGTGACCGCCAAGATAGCAGTGATTAAGTCCCATGGACCGCTGCCGCCGCCGCCGCCGCCGGCTGCGGCGGCGTTGACGACGTCGACGTCGACATCATTACCATCGGGTTGCCACGACGGCGAGCCGCGGAAGCAGCAAGCGGCTGCGGCGGCTGCGGCGACGGCAGTGCTACCGCCGCCGCCAGCTGTCAGCTCAGGAGCTGCCGCTGCGGTGGCGCCTTCTTCCGGGCCGGCCGTGCAGTTTGACAAAGCTACACTGGCGGCGGCAAAGTTCGTGGCGGCTGTCATGCGAGCAGCCACTTTCGGAGTGGGGTCTAGGACTGTGGCGCCCTCTGTGCAGGTGGCGGTATGCCCGCCGACTGTAAATCAACATTATCAGGAGCAGCAGCACCACCAACACCAACAACAGCAACACCAACACCAACAACAGCAACAACAGCAACAACAGCAGCAACAACAGCAGCAGCAGCAACAACAACAGCAACCAGCGCAGCAGCAGAGGAATCATCAACAAGAAGGCCAACATCAAGTACCGGCCCCGTTACCGGAGCTCCGAACGCAGCAGAAACTGGATGGCGGCCAACAGGCACAACCGGCTACAAATGCGGCTTATTGCGTACAGCAGCAGCAGCAGCAGCAGCAGCAGCAGCAGCAGCAGCAGCAGGGGCCGTTATGTCAGGAGCTGCAGAAACTGCCCCAGATGCCCCCGCCCCCGCCCCAGCCCCAGGCAGCTTTATGCCAACAGCCGCAGCAGCATCCGCACGTAGTACATCCGCAGGCAAATGGCGCACCCAGCACCATGCAAACTTCATGCCCAAATGCAGAGCTGCTACCCGACGCGGCGGTGTCGGCGCCGCCACCGCCGCAGGCCAGCGCACATGCGGAGGGTGAGCCGTGCATCACGCCGCGCCGTAGCACCCGTCCGACCCGTCCATCGGTACGGCTCCTGAGCGCCGCCGCCGCCGCTAGCACCAGCGGAGTACCGCAGGCGGTAAACCCGGTGCCAACGGCTGCGGCTGCCTCGACGGCATTGCGGGGACCTGCTGCCGCCGCGGCAGCGGCAGCGGCGCCAGCCGCCAGCGCCGTCGCAGCCCCGGCAGCTGCAGCGCCCGGCGTGTTGCTACTCAGACGCGAAACAACATGCGGTCCGTCTATCCGTATCGTACGTGGCGGAGGGCACACAGCTGCACGGCGGATCGCTGGGGGCCTCGGCGGCTCCGGAGCCCCTTGTGGCCTTCCTCCCGCATCAACTCCTGCCCTTGCTGTTTCAGACGCGACCACGGCTCCAGCGGGGTTAGGCAACAGCGCGCTGTCGCTGGAACCGACGGCGCTGGCGGCGGCGAAGGCCACCGGCGGAAAGGCCGCCCTAGCTGACGCCGCCGCCGCCGCCGCCGGCCAGCGCACCGGCGGAAGTGGCGACGCCGGTGGTAAGGACCGGTCCCGTCGACTGGCGCGTGCGGCTGGCGATATGGCCCCCATTAAGGCGGCGGCAGTAGCGCCACGGCTAAAGGACAGCGTGACGCTGCCGGGGCCGCCGCCGCCGCCGGCCCCAGCGACGCCGTCACGGCCGCGTTGCGCCAGGACGGGGAGCCTTCCTCTAAGCTCCAAGGCCCCCGCAGTCTCCGCGGCCCAGGGGGATTCGTCCTCGGGCTCAATGCACGCGGCGCAGCCGTACGATCCGACGGCGGTGCTACTGCCGTTGCAGGATCAGACGCATTCAGCGCCCTCCGCCATGCCGGCGCCGCCTCCGCCGCCTGGTCCGGAGCCGGAGCCTGCGAGCGAGTCTGCTGTACTGCAACAGGCACAGGCGCCGGCAGCGCTGACCGCGCCGCTGCCGCCGCTATCGCAGAGCCTAACGACAGCTGCTGCTGCTGCGGCGGCGGCGGCGGCGCAATCAGCTGCTGGACGTCCGGTACGGAAGCGCAAGACGGCCCTGAGCAGCGACATGGTAATTTACGGGGAGTCAGCGACACTCTTCGGGGTGCAGGGACCCGTCAAGCGAAAATCAAGCGTCGACCGCAAAGCTCCGGCTACTGCTACTGCCAGCGGCAGCGGCAGCGATGTCGCCGCCAGCGCTGGCGTCGGCACTGGGTCCAGTGCCGTGGACGCGGGGCCGCCGGGTGGTAATGACGACGCTGCCGCTGCGCTGGCGGAGCTTGAGGATACGCAGGACAGCCTGGGGCCGTTTCCCGTGGAGGAGTTACGACCGCTTGCAGGGTCTTTGTCGCCGCCACACCCCCTCTTCGCCGACTTGCACCGCGAGGCTACGCCGTCGTCGCCGCCGCTGGCGCTTCCCAGTCCGCTTGTCGACGGCCCCGGAGAGTTGCGGCTCGACCTTCCAGCGCGCGTCGGCAACGGGCGCGCCGTCGGATCTGCTGCGGCCGCCGCCGCCGCCGCAATGAGCCTTCCTGAGTGCGTTTTGGACATGGAGGGAGTGGATATGGTTGCTGGTAACTCCTTGACACCAAGGTCGCATAGTCCTCATGATTTTCTTGGTCTCCATGACGGGCATCCGGGAGGCCGGCAGGACGATGATGATGATGAGCATTACGTGTTTATGGCACACGCGGGTGGCCGTATACTGGCTCTGTCGGCGTCGCCGTCAGTCAACGGGCTCGACTCTCTGGCAGCAATGATGATGACGCCGCCGTGCGGCGACAGCCCGCGCGTGATGGCGGCCGAGTACGGCGGGTTGGTACATCATGTACCGGAGCTGGGGGAGGACGCGGTGCCGCCGGATGCCGATCAAAAGGTTGTTACTGGTGATGCTGTGGCGGCGGCGGTGGGCTTTTCCGTGCCTGTACGACAGCCGTCGATGGTCGTCGCGACTGTTCCGGGTTTGCCTTCTGGCGCCCCGGGTTGCCAAGATCCAAATTCAAGTCCAGATTTGAAGAAGAGTCCGTCGTGTGGTGCCATGCCTTGGACTGGGTTGGGGTCTGCGTGGCGCCTCCGGAGTGGTGGCTGCGGCATGGCGGCGGAGAAGAATGTGGCGACTGAGCTAAAGGCATCGTTGGAGCCGACTGATAACGCCTCCAACAACGGCCAAGCGGTTGGAACGGGTAAAGCCGGTGAAGTCGCTGCCGCTGTCGCTGCGGCCATTCCCGTTCCTATTGACACTGACGCGCGCGTGCCAGCCGCCTCCGTCAGTGTGTTCACGGGCTCGGTTGGGCTCGCGCGGGGGCCTGCGTTGACGGAGCTCGAGTTTGCTGAGGCTGCGTCCGGCGCCGTGTGCCCTGAAGCCGGCAGCCCACCGGGACTCAACAGCTTTGCCCCGTCCGGGGGGGCAGGCGAGTGGGCGGATCTGGACGACATAGTCGTACTTTAGTTGGTGCCAAGTACGGAATTCTTTTGGGTCTGACCGCCGTCCGGTCGGTGTCCCGGGCTTCTGGCGGGCAGTTTTGTGGCGCGTGTGGGGCGGATTCCAAAAGATGAAGCGTCGCAAGTTGGCACTGTTTTTTTTTTCGTTAACTCGTCTGTCTGGCCGTGCTTCTGCCCCGCCCCCTTGAAAACAGTGCTTTCGGGGAAGATTTAGGCGGCGATATTACAAGCCGGTTGGGGAATGAACGGAAGGGGAACATCGGACAGAAAAAGCGATTTGTTGGGTTGGGGGACTCAATTTTAAATTTGCAAAATGTATTCGTCACATGGAAACGGAACGTTTGTTGGCGCATGCGATGTGGGTTGTGGAAAACCGCGGGTCTTAGAGTTGCGCTGTGGTGACGACAGAATTTCCCTGTCGCTCTAAACAAAAGACGGTTGCATGTTGCCTGACGGGGAACAAACTCCTAAGTACGCGTCCCATTCTTAAACGACGACATGACCGCCTCCATTTGAGGCCCTTCTTAATTAATGTTTGAGCCGCTGACCGTTGCAGCTGCGACGAACTAGCGCAAGCGGGATTGGTACATTGTGGGGTTTCTGATAAAGCTTCCAACTGACGTGCTAAAACCGCGGCTTTCGTGCACGGCAAGCCGCGAGGTGCATTGCTGTGCTAATATTTATGTGATGTTGCGTTTGGGCAGGGAAAAATTGCCGCACTGAGATAGTTGTGCTGGTTGTACGGACTACGGAATTCGGATACGGGTTGGGACGTTGCGGCAATGTGTGTCCAGGATCAAGTTGCTTGTCAGGAGGAGACTGTTGGGGCTTTACGGTACTTGTTGTGCTGTGTCGGATTTTGAGTTCTGCAGGGACTCGCACATTCGATTACATGAGCAGACCATGTGCGTGTACCGTACCTGCTAGTACATTTACTTGGTTAAAAAATGTAAGATTGGATCGTGCACGGTGAACATACCGGTACAGCAATCCCACAGCTTGATGAGGGTGTGATATCTGCGGCTTGAGGGCTTCACTGAAAGTTCGCAGTACACCTGGGCCGAAAGCGGATAGATTCCCAAAGATATGGCGGCTGTCGTAAATCCCCGGTGTTCTGCTGTTCACTTTTTATATAACGTAAAACGAAATTAATCATTACAAGGACAGGGTTACGAAGAAGAATACTTTGAGGCGTCTACGGTGCCCCAGAGCTACGCAATACGGCATGAACAACTCGACTGGAAGTCTTGGACCTGGCCAGCTACAGAGATAAACGGTTGGTGTAAGGAAGGCAAAGGGTTACACTGTGCTACATAAAAATTTACCTCCTAAGCTTCGCTGTCGAGGTATCAGGAGGTAAGACGCCACGGGCAAATTAGTAGAACACTTTTCGGTAGCAACTGCCATTCGTGTCTCCTTGCCTGTCAGCTGCAGCATGTTTGGAAAAGACATGCCTCCAATGTACCTTTGCCTTCTTGCTTTGATGAGGACCGGGACGTACAAGTGCGCAGCGAAATTATGATACTGTGCATTTCGGAATCACCCGCTTGTGGGTTCCATGTCCTTTGTAAATATATTTATGTTCATATTTGTGTTCAGATTATGGAAGCTGCTCAGTATGGGCATCCTCCAAGCTGCTGTTGCCGTTTGCGGATGCTTCTGGCCCTTCTGAGCTGAACCACTTTAAGCATATGGTGCAGCCTTTTGCTTGAAAGCATGGAGGTGAGTGGGGCTTGTCACGCGCGCGCCGGTCTTGCAACCACTCCCTTTGCAGCCAGGCAGCTGCAAAGAGGGACTGCATATGTATGTCATGTACAGGCTTTTTGTGGATAACGTTTGCGATTGCGAGTAAGGGCGCGCCCTGCTTCCCAAATGCTTCGATGCCTCTACCCTGGCCTGGGGTCGGCTTTGGATAAAAGGCATTTTTCGTAATCTTTTGCTGCTTTCTGTACATGCGAGTTGCTGGGATGTTCTCTGTTTCACTTCGCTTAATTGACCGGCGACTGAGGGCGTTGGCGATGGAGGGCTTTGGCACACACGCGGTGATTGCAAACAAAGGTCTTTAGAGAGATATTCTATCTATGTTTCCGAATAGACGAGATGCTCAAGCCGGCAGGGTGTTGGCAGAATGGTGCGCTGGCGCAGGTAGCAGGAGCACAAGAGGACCTCTTGCTCACAGGGCTGAGGAAATGCTCCTGAGTTAACGCAGCATATCATTTGCAGGGTATTCCATGCCTTCGCTCTTAGCGTTCGCCAGTGAAACCCGCCTCGGGAACGTATTCCCACAGAAATACGAGTTTATGAGCCGGACGGGCGAGGGCGCATATGGATCCGTTTGGAGGGCGCGAGACAAAAACACAGGAGTTCTTGTGGCGGTCAAGAAGATGAAGGATGTGCCAGCCACCGAGGAGGTGCGCGTTGCATGTGTGCGCACCGCGTCAGGAGAAATCCCATGTTTCTGGCCGTACGATTAGCTAGGACTTTCCTGACGCCCCTTCCCCCTCATGCATGCAGAACCCTTGCTTTCCAATGCGCTCTCAAGCTCAAACCTAAGACCTCACGTCTGTGCCCTGCAGGAGGGCGAAATCGCCATGCGGGAGGTGCGCGTGCTGCAACTGGCCAAGCATGTCAACATTGTAAACCTGCTGGAAGCTTATAAAAGCCAGAGCGGTCGCCTCTACCTTGTCTTCGGTGAGTTTAATCCTCCAACACTGCACAGGTATGAAGCACGCCGTCATCCACCGCGTCTTGTACCGTCACTGCATTTACACTGCTATACATCTCCAGAGACACGTCCAGTGCTGTCGCCGCCAAACAAGACGCCAAACGACGCGCCGTAAGCAGCAAGTTTAAAGGACCACAGCCGCAGTTTAGCTCTAATGCCCCGGGTTGCGTCTGCTGCAGTCAGGCATACCAGCCAGCATCCAGCTCTGCCCTTGCCTGGGACCTCCTATGGCTTGGCAAAGGCGTCGGCCACACCCAGTTTAACAAAAAGTTGAACCTGGTAAAATTTGCACCGTCGTTTGTGCTTCCTTCCTTGTGCCCTCTGCTTTCGACCTTCGCCTCACATCGCCTCACATCACCTCACCTCAGAGTATGTGGAGAGGACGCTCCTACAGGAGCTCAAGGGGAACCGCACTGGTCTGCCTCCCGCAGTCGTCAAGTCCATTACCTGGCAGATGCTCCAGGCCCTGGGTTACCTCCATAAGAAGCAGATCATACATCGCGACGTGAAGCCATCTAATGTCCTGTTAACGGAAAACGGCGTTGTGAAGCTTTGTGATTTTGGGTTTGCTCGTGCGTGCGACAACGAAGCGTCGGACCCGGCGTACACCACCTACGTTGTTACCCGCTGGTACAGGCCACCGGAAGGTAATTGCAGGGGAGGTAAATAAGGGAGGGAGGGAAGGAAAGAGGGGGAGGGAGGGAAGAGGGAAAAATGGGGAGGTAAGGAAGAGTGGATGATGAAAAGGCTGTTCACAGAGGTGTTTTAAGGAATAGGGAGGAATAAAGCAGCAGCAAGTATAATCATCTTGGCGCGAGTTTTGCGTGGGTGGTTTCCTCCGGAATGGTTGGGCTGGTACCCCCCGGATCCCCCCCTTTCGCTTCCTTCCCCCTTCCCCCCTTCTCCCTTTTTGTCCCGTCCTCCCGCCATTTTGGCTTCTTTTTTGGCTTCTTTTTTGGCTTCTTTTTTGGCTTCTTTTTTGGCTTCTTTTTTGGCTTCTTTTTAGGATTCGTTTTGGCTTCTTTTTTGGCTTCTTTTTTGGATTCGTTTTGGATTCACCATTGGTCTTTCGTTACCCCCTTTGACAGTTCATTTCTGATCTCCTTGCAGTGGTTCTCCCGCGCCGTGACACGTTGAGCCCACCGTGACGCCGCAAAATCAGGGTGTTGTTGTTGTTGTTGTTGTTGTTACTGCTGCTGCTGCGATGCAGTCCTGGTCGGCGACCACTACGGGCCACCAGTCGACATTTGGGCGCTGGGCTGCATCTTTGCGGAGATGCTCATCGGTCGGCCGCTGTTCCCCGGCAAGAACCACCACGACCAGCTCTGGCTCATACTCAAGTCCCTGGGGGCTATGACGGAGCACCAGCTGGACCTGCTAGAGGCAGATCCGCAGTTTGCTTGCTTCCGACTGCCCAAGCCCTCAGAAATTGAGTCCCTGGACCAAAGGCAAGCCGGGACGGGGCTGGGCCTCTTTGCAGCGTGTTGGGTTGGGGGTTACAGGGTTGCACTTGGTTTGGTGCGTGTGTGTCTGTGCGTGTGTGCGATACTCGCTGGACAAATTGGAGGGTGGGTGCCAGGGGGGCCCCACCTCCCTCCTTCTCACGGCGTGCTCGTGCTCGTGCTTTCTGTGCGTCGAGGTGTACTTGGGGCTGGAGAGAGGTGGGGAGAGAGGGGTCAGGGAAATGGACGTCGAGAGTTCGTGGAGAAATGCCATGGACCGAGGTTCCCACGGGAATACCACTGCCTTATCACCTCATATGTGCATAGAACCCGCTGAACGCCTCTCTGAGCGCCAACGCCGCTGCGTTGCGGCAGGCTCGGCGGCATTGTGGGTCCGGCCGCCATGCAGATCCTGAAGGCCTGCTTGGATCCGGATCCGAAATACCGCGCCTCGGCCGACGAGCTCCTCGCAATGCCGTACTTCCACGGTGTTACGGACGCCCTGCCCGTCTCCGACCTGATGGCTTATCCGGTACGTCGGCCGCGCGGGTGTGTGTGAGACACGTTTTGCCCGCGACCGGGATGCGTGCACAGAGCAGCAACAACAGCACACAGCTACTAAAACATTGTTGTTTGTAACTCAACAACATAGTGCCTTGCGGCTCGGGTGTGGTTTCGGAGCGCGTGGATCGCATGTTCGTCCAGTCTCGTCCATCGCTGCGGCGAAGGGCTTATACACGTACGCACATATATGGATGGTTGTAAAGTGCGGTCATGTGGATAACTATACGGGTTACGCGCGGGCATGTGTGTGATTGGGGTCGGTGCCAACTGGGGCGCGGATTCTAGCAACCCGCGAATATTCTTGTGTCCTAACTATCCTCTTCCTCTTGGGCCTTACTTCGTATATTTCGTAATAAATATAAAGAATTTAACTTTTATGCCTATAAATCTTAATCCAATTAGGACCCGGAGATGCGGTCGAAGCTGGATCGCGCGCTCTCCCAGGACCAGGCGAATGCGGCCGCAGCTGCCGCGCGAGAAGCCGTACTACAGTTGCAGGGCGGCCGCCGCCTCGGCGCACCGCCGCCGTCGGCGAACAAGCCGCCACAGCCGCCGCCACAGCCGGTCACTCCGCTGTCGCTGCAGCCTCAGGCTTTTGTACCTTTTGGTGCCAGTGCCAGCAGCGCCAGCGCGAGCCCGTCACCGGTCTGCATGGCTGCACAGCACCAGCAGCACCAGCAGCACCAGCAGCAACCCCAGCAGCAGCTGCCCCCCCATGCAATGGCCGGGCCGCCGCTTCCCGCCAAGGCCGCCACCGCCGCCAAGCTTGATCTATGCCCGGTGGAGTCTCAGCAACGGCCGCCGCTGCAGCGTTACATCACCGCCCCACCCGGCACCATGGCAGCGCGCGCCTTGGGGCAGCAGCCGCAGCCGCAGCCGCAACCGCACCTCCAGCCCATGTCGGAGCCGTACAGCCACCATCTGCTGCCGCAGCGCTCTAAAACGGGGTCGGAGAGCTCACAACAAAGCTCCCCAAGAATACAGCTGCCGCCGCAACCGGGTGGCAACGGGAATGGGTCTACAGGCGGCACGCTGGGGGTTGTTCCTGCGGCGAGCACGCTGGTGCCCGTGCGGGGAAGGGGCATGTCTTGGCGTCTGAGTAATGACGGGGACGGCGGCGCCGCTGCCGTACCCACGGTGAACCCTGCTGTACGGCAACTGGGTGGTCCCGGGCGTCAGACGACGCACGGGGCTCCTGCTGCCGGTGTTGGCGGTGGAGGTGGAGCGATGGCGGGGAGCGGCGGAGGCGGCAGCGGCGGTAACGCCGGGGCCAGCGCCGACGCCAGTCGGGCGGTTCCGGAGCAGCTGCCGGCGGCCACGCAGCGCCCGCCGTACCAGCGTGCCACATGGAACGGCTCCGCGGCGCCTTTAAGAAGCAACGGCGGCAGCGGCGGCAGCAACGGCGGAGCTGCCGGCGGCAGCGGAAGCAGCGGCGGCGCCGGGAGCGCCGGCGGAGCCCCCGGGAGCAATGGCGGTGCGATATCGTACGGCGGCCCCTCTCAAGGCGCCTTCATGGGCCCTACTTTCCTCAGTAATCCAAATAACCCTCCGCTGGCGGGGTACGACACAATTACGATGCACCGCAAGGCGCATTCTTTGGCCGGAAATGAGGTTTTCCCGTTGGGCAGTGGCGGCGGGTCTGTTGGTAATCGAGCCGTGCCGGGTCTTTGCGGGCTGCAGGGCCGCAGCCTTGCGCCGTCGCTAGGTCCAGGTGCTGTGCCAAACAGCCATGGCAGCTTTAGCAGTAACGGCGGTCCCACTTCCTGCGGCGCCGCCTTCCAGCTGCCACCGTCCTCTGGGCTCAACCTTCCAATGGCTACCGGCACCGGTGGGAGCCGCATGTCCGTGTCGCCGCCGCCGCTGGCGTACGGCACGTTCCGCGGCAACAATGCGATGGCGATAACAGGTCCGTCCTTACCTTCTGGCCCTTCTGGTGGAAGATTGAGCAATGACGGCTTTGGCGGCAATGGCGGCGGCGGCGGCAGCAGCAGCAGCATGGTCGCGGCGCCGTCGTGCATTCCGGCGCATGGCTTCGGTTCGTATTCGCGGCCGCCGCTTCAGGTCGTCGGTGCCTTCGGGGCACAAGCAGGACATGGAAATGCCGAGGGAATTTCGATTGAGGTGGAGGTTTCGGAGAGCAGTCTGGCGGGCCCTGCGTCGCTAGGTCAGAACGACGGCCGCCGCGCGTCAGACACGGTCCTCTATGCCGCGCTGTCCCTCAAGGACTCCAAGGGCCGTGCGGAAAAGGCCTCTCAAGTCGTCTTGGGCCCGTCCAGGCCGGCGGTCGGCACCCAAAATAGCGACGCAGCACCCGGGAGCGGCAACTCAAGCGGCGGCGGCAGCTCCAGCGGCGGCGGTGCGCCAGGCCTCGGTGCGCTGCGTAACGTGTCATTCGGTCGTGGCGGCGGCGGCGGCAGCGGCGGCCTGCCAGTAACGGGCACCGGACCTTCTTCTCCGGACGGTCCCTTGCCCGCCAACCTGCCGCCGCTGCAGGCCACGCCACAACGACGAGTCTCAGCGCCTGAGGCCATGGCGTTGGCGGCCCTGTCGGGTGGCGGAGGGGGAGGGGGAGGCGGCGTCACCGCCGCCTCCGTTACAGTGGCAGGCGGCGCGACCAGCCGTCATGTTCCCCAGCCACAAGCCGCCCTGCACCTCGCCAATGGCGCCGGCGCCAATGGCGCCGGCGGCGGCATGAGCTACGCGCAGCGCCACAGGCACCCTTGTGGGCAGCACCACAACCACGCGGCGCTTGGCGTGGGGCATCCGGGCTACCTTCCTTCGGGGCAGCTGCTGCATGGCTACGGTCCCGGTCAGGCGCAACCGACTCCTGTTGTGTGCGGAGTCAGCGGCACTGGGCTGCTGCAGCAGCAGCAGCACCAGCACCATCACCACCATCCATACAGGGCCGGCACCGTCGGCGATGGCATGGACGGTACGGAGATGGTCAACACCGGTACGACACACGTGCTGCTGCCCTCGTTAGACGTGGGGTATGGCGGGAAGGCCGCGCGTTCGTTCAGCTCGGGGAACGCCACGGGTGTTGCGGGTATGGGCCCGTGTCACCTTACCGCGAGGCGGCCCAGCAAGGGCACACTGCTGAGAGTCTACAGGCCGGACGCGCACTGTAAGCGAGAAGACACGTCCAAAATATTGCTGCTGGAAGCCGTGCCAGAAGCCAGCGTGTTGTGAAGGAGCAGACAGGCGCTCGACGCTCGAGCGGGAAATGTGAATGTGCGTTGTACCGTGTACGGCGCTATGTGGACAGCGTCATGTACGGCAGAAGCGGGTCATGTCCCCTACCGTCCTGTTCTGCAAGGAAACAAGAACAAGAACTCAATCCGGCTAGATGTACGATATATTGGCTTTATGATGTGGTTGGTTGTCGTTGTGAAGAGGCATGTATCGGTGTTTTGTTTACGAGGCATGTTCCACCACAAGGCGGTACTGCTGCAACACGCGCGCGCCTTCTTCCCCCTAACACGCATATTCGCATGATGCTGTAGTTGTGGAGCTCATGATGCGGTTTTCTCAGAGCTCCACAACTTGCTGCTGAAAGAAAGGTTTTTCACATTTGGTGCCAGTTTAACAGAAAAGATTATTACGTGTACATAGCGAACGCGTTACGACACGTGGCTTCTGATTTGTACAGGAATTGTGGACATCGCGGTCGGTCGAAAAAAGTGTGTGGAGATGTGAAGAGACATGTCATCGTTTTCCCCGTGCGCCTCTGGACGTTCCGATTTCCTCCTCCCGAAATTTCACCTCCAATACAGTAGTGTGTGGAGAAATTTAGCAGAATGCAGCCAGCCAATGCTGACAGCATTGCAGGGGGGGTTGGGTACTCGGCCTGTAGACCTGTTGTGGGAGTAACAGGACGGGTTTGCTGCTTTGCTCTGTCTGCTTTCCTTTCCGTTCCTCTGCTCTTTATCGACCTCCGCAGCAAACCCATCTTGTTGAGTGACGCTCAAGTTTTACGTGACGTTGATAGCCTTTGATGATCTGTCTGATTGGCTCTGTCTTAGAAAAAAAGGAAAGGGTTTTGATTAGTCCACCCTGCGTGTGTAGGTTTTAGGGGTTGGATTGTGCATATGGAGAAGGGATGGCGTTGTGGAGCACGGCCTGTAGTAGTTAACACGACAGATGCGCGCGCTTGTTGTTTGCATGTTCATCGCTACCTCTTTATCGCCCTGCAGCACATGAAATGCCGATAGGAGCTCAGTTATTGGGCTGTAGTTGCCTGGCTGCGCGCTTCGATGATCCCTGATGCTCACCGTGTTGAAGACGACGTTGCTGGTGATTATTGTTGCTCGCATTTTGAATTGTGTTACAAGAAATTTCTCAAAAGAGTCACTCAAAAGGGAGTCAAAGGAGTTTTTTCGTCCTCATGTATCCGCTAAATGATGTTGGAGGAGAATGGGGGAAAGGTGGTTGTAGGTAACGGTGCCTTCTGATGACTGGGGTTATGCCTGCGGTTGTTCCGAGAGTGTTGCAGTAAAGCTGCGTGGGCGATGGTATCTATCAGTTGAATGAATTGGAAGGAAGTTTGAAGGGGTTTCGCCCTGATCGCCTGCGGGGAGCTGTTGGAGAAGAGGGCGGGTGTTCTCCTGCAGCAGAAGGAAAGATCAGTTGGAGTTGTGTGGTTGTAGCAAATTTTTGGCATACGTGCGCAGCGAGCGGAATTTACTTTAGTAACCCACAAGTTGAGTCACGCCCGTAAGTTAGTTGTGCTTAGCCAGGGGACCTATGGCGACCGAGGCTGCCGCTTTACAACCATCAGGATGCTAATTATGGATACACGCATATGTAGCATTGTAGCCTTCCAGAGGCCCTGTAAGCGATTGTATGCATTATCTTTCCTTGCTAGCGCCATAGTCCCAACTGCCTAATAAGTAAGCAACGGCAACTATGTATCATACTGCTACATAACCTACATCTTACAAAGCCGTGTGTTGGATAATGTTGCAGGTCTTGATCGAAACTTAGCTTTCGATCGACACCGGAGCGGGAACGGGTTAACGGACTCTAACGACCTTCGTCATAGCTTCTGGCTTCACGTTTTAGTTACTCCTTTTATTCATATCACTCAGAAGAATAATGCCTGACTCATGCCACGAGGTGATAGCATACCGCTGCGCTGCGTTGCGCTCCAGCTTTGTTTTCTTCGAAGGTTTTTCTGCGCTAGGTATGCAGTCCCGTTGTTTCGACGCGATATTGTAATCAACTGAAAGGGATACTCGTTACAGCGCATCAAGACTGAAGACCAATAGTTATCTGGACCTGCCCCAACCATATCGCAACACATGTAATCATTTCACCTTGACAACCTTTGGGCATAGATGTCATCAGGGCCAAAGGCAAATGGCAATAACAACACGGGGCGGCCTTCCCGAGTGGATGCTGCGAGGAAATGGGTTGCAGAGGAAACGAGAACTGAAGCAAAGGAAGCCTTTGATCAACATACCAAGGAGACAGGCAACCTCGATGTCCTCTCCCGTTGCAAGAAGCTCAATGAGTTGTTAAGCAGCGTGAGTTCCAAGGTTACCCTTATCTCCTTAGCAACTTCTGAAAAATGATGAAAGGCTCTGAATCATAACGCTCAACAGAGTGGACATAGTAGCATGTGCTCCATTCCTTTGACGTGCGCGGCTGCATGTGGGGTTGGTGCGCGTTGTGGTTGCGCAGGATGTACTGAAGGGCAAGGGCGATGCGAAAGCGCAACTTAAGGAAATTCTGGGCATACTGCACACGGGACCTAAACGACCAGCATTCTTGGACAAGCCGCCTGTGACAGCTAGTGCAGGAAAGCGCGGCGCGTCGTCAAGCGCTGGAAACGAGAGGCCGCTCACGTCACCTGCGAACTGCACTGTGGCCAATGATGTCACGAAAGCTGCGGAGAGTCCTGCTGACGGCAGCAGGTAAGCTGTAAGGCCGGCCAGTGTGTCTCGCGTCGCAATAAGCCTAACAGTAACATACGGAAAGGGGCGAGACCCCTTGGGACCCATTGTAAGACGGGGCTGAGAACTACCAATTTGCCCATAGCCGTAGGTCCTGGGATCGCACGGCACACAACACGCTTCAGCGGCCTTCAGAAGAGGTGGAAGACATTATCACCTTGCTCAACGGACCTTTGCCGCTGGACAGCGCACAAGTTGGTGTGGTGTGTCGTACACCACAAAACGGTCCTGGCACCGAGCAGCAGGCGCGCATTAAGGAACAAAAGCAGAAAGCAGAGGAGGCAGCCGAAGCAGCAGAACAGCAGCGCAAGGCTAAGGAGGCAGCCGAAGCAGAAGAACAGCAGCGCAAGGCTAAGGAGGCAGCGGAAGCAGCAGAACAGCAGCGCAAGGCAAAGGAAGCAGCCGAAGCAGCAGAACAGCAGCGCAAGGCAAAGGAAGCAGCCGAAGCAGAAGAACAGCAGCGCAAGGCTAAGGAGGCAGCGGAAGCAGCAGAACAGCTGCGCAAGGCTAAGGAGGCAGCCGAAGCAGCAGAACAGCAGCGCAAGGCAAAGGAGGAAGCGGAGGCGGAGCGCCAGCGGGCCGCAGCGGAAGCTCTGCGGCTGCACCGTGTGCAGTGCGGGGCCGCCGTGTGCATTCAATCGCATTGGCGCGGCTATTGTTGCAGACGGCGTGCGGCGCTGCGGCGGCAGGAGCTGGCGGCGCAGCACGCCGCGGCCAGCATCCTACAAGCCGCCTGGCGATCCCGCGAATCAGCGCTTCAGTACCGCCAGCGACTCCTCGCCGTGGGCATGTTGCAATGCGCTGTGCGTGCGTGGCATGCACGGCGCCACCTTCACCACCTGCGTGTGGAGGCATTCATGCGGGAAAGGTCTGCTCGGGTCATTCAGCGTGCTTTCTTGGCTTATCGGGCGCGGGGGTATACGTTGGGGCCCTTGCGCCTGCCCCCCGGCGCACGACCTCAAAGCTCCTTAGGCGTGGACGGCGCGGCCCTGCTCGCCAAGCAGCTACGGCTGCGCAGCGCCGTTGACACCCGTTTGGCGCCTGAGTGCGTTGCCAACGGCTCTGGAGGAGGAGGAGGTACGGGAGATGGATACGATTGCCCTGATTGTCATTTTCTCCCCGTAGATGGCTGTGGGTTCAACGGCTATCACAGCTCCTCCGCGCGCAAAGGGGGCAGCGAGCATTTGCGGCGTATGCTGAACTCCACACGGTAGCAGCTCGTGTGCCTTTGGTCCGCCAGTAATGCTGCCACCTGGCACCTGCCAGGATAGAAGAACGACAGCCCAGGGTCCTGTACTCCCGTTGGGTGAACCGGGAAGGTTGCCTTTTGCTTTGCCACCTACCAGAAAACCCTAAGTCCAACTAAAGCGCCGAAAGTGCTTTTTCGCGCCGTCACATTGCGCGCCTTTTAATATACGGGCCGGCTTTTAAGCTGTGCCGGAGTCCACGTGGAGAGGCCCATATTAATACAATCCTGGTTACTGTTTTACCCTCCTCGTCCAATCCTCTCCTTTGCAGACGACGACAGTGCGCGCCAACACCGCACCGTAGTGACCCACATGGAGCGGATGCGCCAGGTCAGCGTGAACGAACGTAACCGGCGCTGCGACGTCAGCGAACGTGCTATCATGGTAGCAAGCGAGCATCGCGACACAGCAGAGGCCCTGGCTATAGCACGTCAGGGCTTCGGCACGAGTACACCGAGGGCCCCCTCACCTTCCACGGTGTGGCCGCCTGTGGTGGACGGCATCAGGCCGGATAGCCGGCGAGCCAGCACCAGCAGCCGTGGTGGCTCTGAGGCAGGAGGGGGCCTTTTCATTCCGGGGACACTGAGTGCTGACTCGGCATTCATGTTAGGGTCACGGCCTTCAACGGGGCTTAGACGACCGCAGGGAAGCTTGGGAGGATAGTTTTGGGAGGACTGTCCAACTGCTACCGTGTTACCCTTCCCTTGATCGTGGCGTTTGGGTTGTGTGACTTTGCGATCCTTGGAAGTGCGCGTGAGACTTTAAGTCGGATGGTGCTTAGTCGTTGCTCTGACGACTGTGCGCTGATGCCCTTGGGGGACACACACGTTTTCTGGCAATGCCTTGTGAACGGCTGGAAAATCGCCTGCCTGCAAAAGTAATCAACAGTCACTGTGAGGGGCGGTGCTTACCGTAGTGACAGGAAATGTTCGTGATTTTAATTTCGTGACAGCATCACGAAATTATGTCACATATAAATTACAAGCTGTTCCAGGCGATGGTCGTCACAAATATATATGTGTGCTCCGAAGCCAAATCGTATAATGCCTTCAACACAGTAATTACTCGTCGAATTCCACTTTCCTGGCCATATATACATCCATAGTAATTGAATGGACATGGATCCGAGGGCCAAGCGGCCTAAGCAACAAAGCCTCCTTCAATGCGGACTCTTCACACTTGCTCGCGGCGCCCCAGCTACGGATAGAGCTGGTTTTGCCGCTCCTAAATAACCGTGCATGCATTGGCCAGCTTTTGCGTCAATCGGCGTTCTGAGTCGGACCCATTAACGAATATTGCAGGCACCGTTGCTTCGGTTGCGTTGGCTTCTCACGAATTCAACAGTTTCACCAATAATTTCGGGTGTAATTTTGAGGGTGTCTCGAACAATAAAATCACGAACATTTCCTGTCACTACGGTATCTTCCATAGAAGGATAATTAGGCCGGAAATGATGCCGGCGTTGGCGGTAATGCGCGACCTATGACTGTTGTACCCCCTGCCTTTCCCTTTTGACCACCTCAACGTAGGCAAGGCAAGGCAAGGCAATGCCTTTTCCGGCTGCATGGGTTGGTTATTGGTTTACTCTTTCTGAGGTTGGGTGACCACCTGAAAGGTGGGCAAGAACCTAGGTGTTGGACGAAAAATGGACGAGCATGCTCGGAACTGAGACACAATTACTCTCTGCGCAACCCGGCAAGGATGTCGTAACAGGAGGCGCTGCGGCCGGGACCGAAGCGCGGTATTATTGAATAAGATAGGAAACACGGTAAAATTCAAAATGCAGAAGCCAGGAAGATGTGCAGTGCGAAGCCGAGCATGACGGTTACAAAATGGTTACAAAAGACGGTTAGGAAAGTTCACATGACGCAAATCGACCAGACATATGGGGTGCGACGTCCGAAACAGTTGCAACGTCAAGCGGCAAGCAAAGAAGACAAATAAGGAAAGAAGAACTAGTTATAAATTATAGAACGTTGTACTCGAGAACTGCAGGAGGAACGTGTATGGAGTTGAACCTTGAAACCGGCAAGTACATTTGCAAGATTGGTGAGCAAAGCGTCCACAAGGAGAAAAGGGAGAGGAGACGCGTTCAGGGAGAGGAGCACGTTTATGTTGTTTGTATTGCCGTGTTTGTCTTTACGGACAACGAGGCTCAGACTTTTGCAAACGCATCCCAGGATTACCCGAACACATCCCAGGCAAACCAGGCGAAGAAGTCGGCCTTTCGGCCATCAAGGTGTGGAGTACCAAGTACAAAACGACGAATGTTTTTGTAGTGTGGAGTTTGTTACAAGAGCACAACCCATCGGTTAGCTTTGCTCCTTGTAACCTTTCCGTCGGTAAGCGCACCTCATTCGACTCACCATACTCGTACCATTTATCATAAGTCCCATCACAGCATGGGCTGCAGCACCCCCAACCGCACCCACTACACAGTAAGACAACTCCTCAGGTGGGCAAGCCTACATACGCGTAGCGTGAGGCTTTGAGTCTTAGGTTGGGTTCCCTGAAATGTAGTGGTGTGAATTCGAGAATTCAATGGCGAGGTTCAGGAACAACGCGCATGTATGTGGTCAGTGGAGGAGCCGTACTATGGTTTCCCTTTATCATGAGCTGTCAATAGAGGCCGCTCCAGACAATTGAGTTCCAACCTTGGAACTTAATTGTCAAGAGGCCGGGGACACTGTGCCACCGGGCCTTGATTGCCGACCTTGAGCTGGCACTGGGGGATACAGAACAAGTTGGGGACGAGGGGTGTGTGTGCTGAGTGCTGGACGAGCAAGGTCCTGCTGTTGGCCCTGCTATGTTTGGTAGAGTTGTTGATGCTTTCTGGGAGCTGAGCCCCCAACCGGTCTGCGTGGCTACGACCTCATCGCGCATTACGCCACCGTTAGGTTGCCAGTGGGAAGCATACTTGAGTAGTTCGCTAGTCGGCTGGACGCCCGGTGGGAGTGCCTGGATACCCTAGGTGATCCAAAGCGCTTTCCCAAGTGGAAGTACCGGCGTCAAGGCTTGCCGCTATCTGAACTGGATGGGGGCGCCCTCGCTTAGGGACACGCGGCACAAGTGGCTGGCCCACGCTGAAACCGCCATGCCCCAACGTTTGCATAAAGTGCTTATGTGTTTCCGGTTAGGCTGTTGGGAGTCAAGAGATTATGGGCCTAAAGGCCGTGAGTGCACCGCGCGTACATGTAGGCTTTGCAACTGTGGGGCGGTTGAAAATGAAATGCATGCTTTTTGCGGAATGACCGGCTCACAAGTACACGGGCTAAATACGAACGCGACCTCGTGTTTCAAGGGCGCGACATGCGCACGATTATGACCGAGGCCCCACCCCTGGCGCTAGCCAAGTTCCTCTCGGAAGTCTGGAAGACCCGGCACGTTGCTCTAAGGCACTGAGTGCTGAAGCGGACAAGGGAGGACGATGATGGTCCACCACATAACCGCACTAATAACGATTTACCGTCCATGGCCCCCAAGCTTTAACCGACACACCCGCACTCGTGCGGAAATTGTAATTGTAACTTGAGCTAACTAACGCACATCGGAAGCGCAAGATCACGTCCAGGTGCGTAGCGACAAAAATAATTGGGGAAATGTCAGGCAGTTCCTAGATTGCTTTGGGCCTGACCTGTTCTGTGATTCGCATCCCAATTTGATAGGTCTAGATAGTTTCGGTCGCCTTGGTCGCAGAGGCCCCGTGACGGGGATTAGTATTGTTTAGAAGGCCTGCTATCTATGAGTAAACTCACGACGTCGTTAAGTGTAAAAAAAGATTTCTGTGGTGATCGATTCCGAAAGAGTCGAGGAATGTCAGGCAGTTCCCTGTAAATCCCACCATACCTCGACGGTTTCCCAATCGATCCCTCACAAAAATCTTTTTTTGCACTTAAAGCGACGTCATGAGTTTACGCAGTGAAAGCCGGCAATCTAAAAAAATACTAATCCCCGTCACGGGGCCCCTACGATCAAGGCGACCGAAACCATCTTAGACCTATCAAATTGGGATGCGAACCAAAGGAACAGTTCAGACCCAGAGCAATCTAGTCCATGCAGTCTTGCAATCCCCTCTAGCACCAGCATTAGCGTCGCTCATTCCACGCCTAGGCGGCGCTTGAAATCATCCACCATGCGCAGCAGCCCTTCCCGCAGTGGCACCTCCGGCTTCCACCCCAGCATTTCCGTAGCTTTAGTGATGTCCGGGCGACGGCGGGATGGATCGTCCGCAGTGTTCTCGCGGTATTCGATCACAGCGTTGGGGTTGACCACCTCCTTGACGAGGTTAGCCAGCTCCAGCATGGTGAACTCACCCTGCAGAAAGCATTTGAGGGATAATGCATATGTTCAGCATGCATGGTCAATATGCCGGTAGGCAAGCGCCCTTTGAATAACACGCACGAAACTACATACCAAATCCTCACAGTTGGCATAGGGCCCACCCAAACAATGCGTCTGTCGTAACACACATGGCTCCTCCCTGCCGTACTTGTGGTCCCCGCATCACCCACCGGGTTGCCAATGTTGAAGGGCCCAATGTGAGGGCCGTCCATCACTGCTACCAGGCCGCGGACGAGGTCGCTGACGTACTGGAAGGACCGGGTTTGCTGACCATCGCCATAAACCGTGATGGGCTTGTTCGTCAGCGCTTGGCTGACAAAGTTGCTCACCACACGCCCATCGTCCAGGGCCATGCGAGGGCCGTAAGTGTTGAAGATACGCACAATGCGGACCTGGGCAGCATCAATTACACATCTGTTTAAAGCCGCTGAGGCTTGCCACGAAACCCCGACGTTAACGCGAAAAAAGCAGCCTACGAGAGTGCAGAAGATTTGGAATGTAACAAACCTGCAGGCCATGCTCACGGTAGTAGTCCATCGCCAAGGTCTCCGCCACACGCTTGCCTGCCGACGACAGAAGGTGACGGAGTGCATGAGGCAGCATACAACGAACATTAACAACGCAAGAGCGGGGGTGCTTGTCCAAGTGACATCGAGACTGATTTCAGTCCAAGAGTGCTCACCCTCATCATAGCATGAGCGCTCGCCGATGGGGTTCACGTTGCCCCAGTACGTCTCCTTCTGAGGGTGCTCCAATGGGTCACCGTACACCTCGCTGGTGCTGGTGATGAGGAATCGCGCCTTGCAGCGCTTGGCAAGGCCCAGCATGTTCATCGTCCCGAGGAAGCTAGTCTTAGCCGTCTTGATTGGGTTGTACCTATGGGCCCAGGGCATTTAAGCCGGGTCAGCATATGGGTATGAGACTTTCGACAGAGGCGAGAGGGTGGTGCCGGAGGACTAGGAGTGGTGGCGGAGGTTAAGGCCACGTATGCGAGCCATACGATGGCTAATCATACGGGTAGCAGACGGAGCAGGCTCCCATAACAACCTAATCACATACGTGCTGTCAGAGGCATATCATAGGGTGTAAATGAGCCGCCGGCAAAGCTGAAACCTGTTGCTGTAGCGCACGAAAGCACCCACGCTCCGTTCCCCAAACAACATCTTAAACAACCCACTTGTAATGAATTGGTGAAGCTGGGCAAGCGCAATGGAAAACTTGATCCACTTCAAGGAGGATCGGCTCCACGACGTCATGCCGAATAACCTCAAAGTTGGGCTTTCCCAGCAGATGTGCAATATTCTCCTTGCTACCCGTGAAGAAGTTGTCAAGGCAGATCACCTGAAGTTTACGATATGGGTCGTGGTGACTGAACATGGAAATGAACCGATCTCTTTTGACAAGCACAACGTACATGGTCGCCGCGCTCCACAAGATAATCACACAGATGGCTCCCAACAAATCCAGCACCTCCAGTTACCAGAACGCGGTTGCGCTCGCAGCGTGGCTTGGTTTTGATAAGGGTGCCGTTACCGTTCTCAGCCATCTTTTCCTGTGTAACCCAATTACAAGACAAGTTTAGTCACGTTCTATGACACATGAGAAGCATAAGTACACCTCCTTTTGCATTGCTCGTACGAAGTCATGTACGACTTCCTTATGGTGCAACGGCGCCGTGAGAACTCCAGTAGCGTTTTCTTATAATGCTACTGACAATATATAATTGCCCATGCACACGGCCTCATTCCAAAGTTGGTCACCATACCTCGATCCGACAACAACGCAGCTGAATTCATACTATGGTTTAATAGAAATTTGGCATCGTACAAATTGTTTTTTTCTACATTTCATTTAACGGTGACATGGAGTGCCTGGGTCCGGGGTACATGTGAGCAGAGCATCTGCATTTGGAGAGCACTATGCATTATAACTGGCTAAATGATTTACGCAGACAGCATTCATGTCATTGTTGCATCAGGTCATACTCTTGTTTTCCAACAGACATGCGACAGTTCCAAGGTGTGGTGGGCGTTTCTAGCCCAAGCCTGCCCAAGCGCCTAAAAGCCAGTATGTAATACACCCGTATCTTAAACTCGTGAACTTACTTAGGGTCTCAAACCGAACTATGTCTAAAGCTTTTAATTATGGTGTTCAATGGACGCGTGGAGATGTCATCTACGCTTGCATTGCGGCAGCGCATGCAGCGCATGCAGAGCCGTTGCGAACCATTACCGAGCTGCGCACGAGTTTGAAGGCAGCCATGGAAGTGGCTTTGCAGAAGCAACCCATTGTAGTTTCTGTTGACGGTGACTGCCATTGTTGGGCGCGAAAGGCTCCAAAGGCATCTATGCCTCGGACGTACAGACGCAAGGTTATCGCCATAACGTGCCTACTAGCTTGAAATCCCAAATGCACTACAAAAACCGATTAACTGACGCCACAAGCTAATACTGTTAGGTTTTCTTGTTAGTTAACAAGATAAAAGACGCCCTGCTTGGATACCTAAGCCTACGCTGCCGTACACAGCCGACAAACCCACGTCGGCCATACGGCCATGCGTGCACTCCTTGCCGTCAACTCATTCGCTGTGCTTCCAGTGGACGTACTGACTTTGCCCCAAGAATACGGCTGCATTGCGGTAGTAAAGGCGAAGGGCCCCCCCATACAGATATGGCAGGCAGTTCGGTTCAACCGCGGACCATGGAGGTTTGTGTTTCTCGGACGTTTTATGCCCTCTCCACAACGACTCGCGTTTTTGTTGCCGCGCTGCTGCTACCAGCGAGCGTGTGCGTAGATCCTCAAAACCGTCCTACGATACCTTGAGACTACCCAAAAAGAACAGTACTATGCCGAGTCGAAAGGACTCTTAATTTTGCGCGACGCATGTGCATTGCCTGCAAAACGCGCATGCAGGTTCTGGGTTCGTCCTGGGTGCGCAGAGGAATCAAACTCGACCTCAAGGCCGTCCTGCGGAGCGTTTTACAAGCTTTCTGTTCTATAAGGAAAGGATGCTAACGGACTGCGCATGGCTCCGGACGAAAAGGCGTCATATGTGGCGCCATGCAATTCAAAAAACAAGACTCCGATGTAACGCGTCCGACTACACCACAAGTATCATTTACGACACGGCCTATTTGCGCAACAGCGGCATCAGCAACAAAGCTTATACGGTACAGCATATCCCTCACATCCCGCACACCGGGTATTACAACAGAACGGCAGCTCCGCAGTAAACCGCAGCGTGAAAATCAGAATCGTTTTGCCTGTTGGCCAGCACCTCCCTAGCCGTGGCCGTGGCCAGAATGGGTAATGAACACAGAACACCTCCAAAATATCGCGCACACAGGAAAGTTGCTGCATTGCACGTGTACAGTCAGGTCCCCTCCCCCCCTGAGCAAAACCTCAAAAGTCAAAAAGTCAACTGCAAGACAACACCTGCATTCGCCCTGCCGCACCCATCCAGTCGAACTGGACCCGGCGGACTCATATCTCCACCAAATCAGCACCAAAGGTAAAAGCGGGTAGAACGTGCTGTCTAGTATGGAGCATAGCGAGGTCCGGAAGGAGCCCCGCCAGCACCGCGGCCGCCGTAGCTGCCGCCGGCAGGGCCCGCCGGCGGCCGGCTACCCCCGCTACCTCCCGTATAACTGCCAGACCCGCCTTGATAGCTGCCCGGGCGACCGCCGCCGCCGCCGCCGCTAGCAGCCATGTAGGCCCCAGACCCGCCATGGTAACCTGTAACACCTGTAACGCGTAGAGTGTAAGGTATATCGAACTGAGTCTGAGGGACAGCAGGCCGACGATGTAGCGGATGAGGCTCGTGGCTGCTGTGTGACAACACCTTGGAAGTCATATTCCAGGAAAAGGCTTGTCAGGACTTCGGGTTCGCGTAGGGCAGGCAACTAGCCAAACAACGGCGGCTACCATTGCGGTTGCATGCTATTGTGTAGAAGAATTGAGATTACTCGGAAACGCAAGGTGGGAAACCATTTCGACCCTACGTAGTCAGCAGTACGTAGCAGCAGGCGCTAAAATCCACCGTAGCAACCTCTGCCAAGCATCCCCTCTCCATGCCCCCTTCTAGTCCACGCGCAAAGTGCACGTCGTAACCAAAACAACGAAACCCTGAGCCCTACCTCCGCTCCCGGACGAATACACCGAGCCGCCTGCGACAGGGGCCCCGCGGCTGGGCGGGTGCGCATTGTACGGCGGTGGAGCTCCAGAGCTGCCGTACCCTCCTCGCTCTGTGCCATATCCCGCACTGACACGTTCTCCTCCATAAGCAGGCGCACCGCGTTCCCCGCCGTAATGCCCAGGTGTGTAGGAACCACCGCCACGCTCTCCGCTCCCATAGCCGCGCTCCCCGTAGCCACTCCGGTCCCCATAGCCACTCCGGTCCCCGTACCCTCCGCTGCCGCTGCCGCCAGCGGCAGCCCGCTCACCACCCCCGTACCCTCCACGTGAAGGGGCCCCGCCACCGCGACCACCCTGATGTCCACCGCCGTAGTAACGTTCCCCTCCACCATAACCCCCCACATCCCTGTGAGCCGCCCCGGCGTCGTAAGACACTGCGCATATATGCGACCATCGTGGAACCATCAGACGGACACATCAGTACATTCAGTACATCAGTACATTCAGTATATCAGTAATTCAGTATATCAGTACATTCAGTACATCAGTACATTCAGTATATCAGTACATTCAGTATATCAGTAATTCAGTATATCAGTACATTCAGTATATCAGTACATTCAGTATATCAGTACATTCAGTATATCAGTACATTCAGTATATCAGTACATTCAGCGACAAACATGTTGAAAATTGATACCGATATGAAACTTTAAGAAGAAGAAAAAGAAGAAGAAGAAGCCAAGCCGCAAGTCGGGAGGTTTTTGTAAATCCTTTGGTATCCAAATTCACACATGTCAAGTTCAAGTCCAAGTTGAAATCCAAGCTCACCTTGACGGGCGCCACCGTACTCGCCCCTAGCGGGGTATTTCTCCCCGTAGCCTCGATCATCGTAGCCACCGCCGCCGCCGCCGGCGCCACGGCCGGCGCTTGCACCGTAGGCAGCCCCTCCATAGCCGGCGCCCGATGCACCACCATACTCAACACCCGGGCGGCCCTCGGCGCGACCTTCGGCGCTGCGTTCACGGGGCCCAGGGCCTGCCGGAGCACCGCGGCCGCGACGCACTGGTCCACCGCTTCCGGAGCTTCCACCTTCATGGTAACCGGTGCCACCGCCCATGACATAACCAAACTGCGTGGCACGGCAGGAAAGCCAAACCGCGACTACTTCAGAACGCTCACATTCCTTCCTTGTGTAACTGGAAGAACAAAAAGCCATGTAATCACGTCCCAAATGAGAGCCAGGAACCAGATTTGATTTCATAAAGGCGTGCACCACCGAGTTGAATATACGCTGGTGTTTATATTCTGATGTTCCATGCAACACTTTCCATCATGGCGCTACTCCACACTTCATCCGTGAGCGCCACACTAGTCTTCCGCTGTGCGAGTGAACGTAACCAACATCTCCTTCCACTCCATGCCAAGACAGCTCCCGAATTCCGAACAAAGCCGACCCCTTCCCCAAGCCATCTCCATCTTCAAGACGAGCTGCAACGCGACACCAAGCCCTGAGTCCACCCATAATCATGCTGATCACAACAGACGCTTTCTCCCACCTGGCCGCTTGGTACCACGACTGGCATGATGGGCATGCCCGGGTAGCCCCCATAGCTGTAGCCGTACCCATAGCCATCGTAGTCCTCCTCATAGCCCTCCTCATATCCATAATCGTAGCCCTCCTCGTACCCATATCCATAATCGCCCTGATGATACCCGCGGCCGCCGCCGCCGTAGCCACGGCCGCCGCCGTGACCGCCTCGGCCACCGCCACGACCGGCCGGACCGCGACCACCTGCACGCATGGCAGTGGGAGACGGGCAGTGGGTTTCGGCAGTTAGCGACAGGTATCGACTTCTAGGGTGCACTTTCACAAGGTGCTAGCGCGTACAGTGAGCTCATTTCACAGTCCACCGTCCAAGTTTAGGCACACGGCACACCCTACATCCTACACGTGCGCCTACGCTGCTGCGCAGGAAGCTCCTGCAGCCCCCTCGCTTGCTGCCTAATACATACCTGCCTAGGACACCCAGGAGGGGCAATAGTGTTCCAGGCGGAGAGATTGGTGGTGGGTGCTGTCAAGTAGGCGAACAGGTCCGGCTTTTTACAGTGGCCCAGCACTTCGCCATTGCCCCAGCTGCCCCCCCCCCACTGCTCACCTCCATACCCAGGCGGTCCGTAGCCCCGTGGTGGGTAGCCGTAGCCGCCGGGGCCGTAGCCGCGAACCATGCCCATGCCGTCATCGCGCTGAGCTTGTGGCTTCGCCATGTGAACCTGCACACGTGTTTTTTTTTCAGGGGAGTGGACCGTGAACTAACGAGGGCCTCACAAGCAGAGCACAGCGGATCACACTACAGCTACCCCACACGGGTAGTACAAAGCAAGACGCTGGCTACCAGTGTGGCCAGGCACATCACGGCCGGGGCATGGGGCGCCGCGGCAAAAAAATAGCACAGGCAGGCTACGTGAGGACCCCTGGTATGTAAATAACGTTGACAAATAGAAGTGACGGACAAGGATTTCTGGTTTTTTATCATTGAGTAATAATTTAGAGGGTTCTTATCTTTTCAACAAGCGCTCCTGCGCAGCAGGTTCCTTTTTAATAAAAAATAATCATGCAGAGTGCCAAAACAGCACTTACGATAAGTTCCTTGTCAGTCATGATATGTTTCTTGTTCTCTGCCTCGCTCACGGCGCGGAGAGCGGAGGAACGATCAGTGTAGTTGATGAATGTGTAGTTCCGCAACTTGGTTGGATCGTCGGGCATGTACAGCAGAGTCACTCGCTCGACCTGCACGTTCCAGCAGCGGGTAAAGTGGTAAGTAGGTAATAAGGGGTAGGGGGACATAGGGCGGCAGCACGAGGCTAAACCTGAGCCACAACAACATCGGGCACAACTGGGCCACGGGAAGAGCACACCATGGGGCGGTGCCAGTTCCGCGCCATTCCGTTCTCGCTAACCCAGCTAATTCCATCCTCGCTAACCCAGCTGCTCCTCTCACATCGCCATCGCCATCATTACGGTGGGACAAGCAACAAGATCAGGCAACAAGGGCTTTTCAGGAGGGCGCAAGGAAAACGGCAATGGCGTTTTTTTGCCAGTATTATTTCTCAGACCCCCTTGAAAGAGCACAACCGGATCCCTACCTACACCCTACATCCTACATTCACCATGCTGCCGACAGAGACTTCCCTTGGACAACCCAGACCCCGAAGCAAGACCCCCCCCTCACCGTGCCGTACTGCGAGAAAATGGCGCGAAGGTCGTTCTCTGTGTACTGCTCCGGCAGGTTTCCCACATAGATAGACTTGACCTTTGGGGCATTACGTAGGAATTTGTGTGATGCAAAAGAAGTCAAGAAAAAATCAACTGCCCCGAGCAGGTGGGTAGTGGGTAGCAGAGGATGTAACAACATGGGTGCAAAACAGTCGACCAGCATACTATGAAACAAGAGGGCATGGAGCATTGACACACATCAGCAGAGCAGGCTTTATAGAGCCGCCTGCATAGAGCTCAACTTAGTCAACTTTAAAAAGTAATTAATTTGTAAGACAGCCCCCAGGAGAATGTGTCTCCTCTACATGGATCCAAGTCTACGTGAATTCGAATGATTCAACACAGGGCGTTTTATTCTGTATGGAAAAACAGTGACGAGTTTGTATGCCATCACTCATCACGCCTCTGCACATATCGCGCGCTCGTGCCTGAAGACAGGCGGCGACACCAGAGGCAGGCCACTCGCAAACCACTCCACAGACCACGCACCTTCTCCGTGCCGATTTCGTCACGCTTGGGGTCGGCCCACATGACTTGCACTTGGTGGCCCCGCAGCCGGAATTCGGGACGGCTGAGCTTTCGGAGCGCCAGGGTGGCTGCGGCGCTGTTGTAAAATGCGATGAAGCCGAAACCCCGCGCCTGATTGGTTTCTTTGTCCATCATTAGCTCGATTTTCTCCAAGCCTGGGCACCGTAAAAAAGAACCCGACATGCCAACCTTCATAGCGCGCTGTGTACATGTAAAGAAGAAAGCAAGGAAACGGAACACGCTACACAAACACATAACAAAACGGACATGTATGCCTCCACCCTCCCTTTTTTAACGGCTATGCGTACCGATTCCAGCAAGGATACATCGCGAGAGCTTCAACGGCCGCCCACAGGCAAAGGAACACAAAATGCCTTTTCCCATCTTTCTACCGACTCCCCTGCAGACATGCCAAGACGGCCGCACCACTTACCAACCACCTCCGCTTTGAGCAGGACTTCCAGCTCCTCGCGAGTAATGTCCCGGGGCATCTGGCCAATGTACAGCTTGTTCTTCACAATGGAGGGCACCACGTTAACCTGCATCAGCGCGGGGGTTCATCAGCGACGGCGGCACCCAGCAGGCATCCAGTTCCCGAGGGGGGCATCCAGCTGGTGTGCAGCTGCTCCCAACACAGCAGTTCAAAACCCAAGACCAAAAAAAGCAAACATCGACACACGGGACTAAGGTGCGGTACATTTGGACGACAACAGAACGACACCGCTGCCCAACTGGTCCCTAGGACTACACATAGCAGAACACAGTAAGGCTTCGGCTTCGTAATAAAAAGCGATACACAGAAATCAGGCTTGTCCAAATCCTAAACATCTCCAAAGTTGCTCCAGAAGATCTCCAAAACACCCCTAGAGTTGCTTCCAAGCGGGTGCTCAGCGCAGGTGCCTAATGGTGCCTCCAGGTGCTCAATGCACGTGCCGTTAATATGTGCGCAGCCTTTCCGGTGGCGGTGGGGGGGATGCCGGGTCATCAGCGGCACTATGGCAGGAGCCCGACAGCACCTAGCAGCGTCACCTAGTCCTGGCTAACCTACGTAGGCCCACGTCCCAGGCCCCTACTTGGCCTTGGCCTCGCCTTCAAACATTGTAATCCTTCATATGCGCATATAGCGGCGCAGGAGGAGGTGTCGGGACGACTCACCCGGCGCCCAGGAAACTCCTTGACTTCCCTTCCCTCCAGGATTGTCATGGCCTTCTCCGCAGATTCGCGAGCTTTGAAAACGCAAAAGCAGTATCTGCAAACAGACATGTTCCCACAGACAGGCATGTTCACATCAGGGATGCGACAAGGCCGGTGGCCATGGCCTACGGCCCGGTGCTTTGCACCGGCCAGCTGCTGCGCGCGCGACAAGGAATAATAATAGTCCAGGTATTTGTTCATTCTATTCTGTTGCAAATGCCTACGACGTGGCTTAGCGACACGGATGGCTGCTAATATTATTATTACTACTACTACCATTATTATTATTATTATTACTACAATTAACCACTACTCACCCCTTGTTGGTGTTGCTCTCACGGTCCTTGGGGATGCGGAGGGCAAACACCTCGCCAGCCATCTCACAAAACGCCCGTACCTGGGCGTCTGTAGCCTCCCGGGGCACCTTTGATATGAACACCTGTCAAAGCCGCAATAGTAACACGTAGCATTGTAGCAGCACCCAAGACAGCAAGGCCACATGCATGCATGCTATGTGTGTGTGTGTTTTACACCTTGGCTGCATATGCAATGCAGAGGTGTGTAAGGAGTACCCATACGAACCAGAGACCCTAAGAGCCTCGGAGCCAGACAAGTTAGAAGGAGCCAGACAAGTTAGAATAATATGTGAAAGTAAAGAGGGTCAGTTCCCTGGTGCGGGGTTACAACGTGCAGCGACGGTCCTCCCCAAGAAAATAAAAAAAACCGCCATGCATCACCTTGCATTGAGACCCTCCTTTTCCTGCAGTGCCAGCCAACTGTTCCCGAAGGAAAGAGATTCGAGCAGCTAACAACGGATTCGGGAGGCGACATCCTATAAATTCGTGGAGTTCTCTTTAGTCACTGCATTTTATTGCACATCCCTGCGCATCCGGTAGGCGCTGAAGGATACTGGGACAACCTGGTAATCTTTATGCAGATAATCCGGAGGCTATCCGATTATTAATGCGGCAAAGAAATGTTAATAGTAGCGCTATTAAGCGGTGGCATTATGTTGGAGATGATATGCGGCATTCCGAAGCGGCGGGTGCGGGCCGCCGCGTTTGGACGCCCCCACCCAATCCGAAGAGCGCACGCCGCACGCAGAGGCGCTCACCTCGGTCCCATGGGGTGGCAGGCTCATGGGATCCTCTGAATCTCCCGCTCTGCGAAAAGCATCCAGGGTGTTGGTTAAGCGTAATGTGAACACAATGAAAGCTGGCGGGGAGGACGCCGACGTGGTAGTGCAGAGAGCAGCTGCGTTATAACCCACCCTTGCTGTTCTTCGTGCTCCTGATTTCGTTGCCTTTCATCTTCTGCGGTTGCAAGTTCTTGCTCGCGAACGTCATCAGGAGCCTGCTCCTGAGGTTTAGGCTCATCGCCTTCGCTCTTCGGCTCGCCGTCAGCCGGGGGGTCGACACCGCCACTGCCGCCACCGTTTTCAATCTCGTTTGCTGGGATCTGAGGCTGCAAGTGTGCGCATAGACAAAATGGTAAATTTTAATTATCAAAGAGATGGTCCGCGGCAAGCCCTTAGTGGCCGCTGCCCGATTGCTGTGCATAGTACCTGGTCGCCGGTTCCCTCAGGTGGGGCATCATCTATACCATCGCCCTGTGGATCTCCGGCATAATCCTAGACGTAGGGCGTTACGCAAATTATTTTAGCGCAGCCCGCCAGGTCAAGCTTGAAGTAAAGACGATCTCGCACCTCGCCCATATCTGCGTCATCCACCAGTGCAGCCTCCTCAACATATTGTTCCTGTTCTTCCGCCATTTCACGTCTGACCCACGGCCTGCCTGCTGTCACCTAATCAGCGAGGAGCGGCTGGCTTGTTCGAGTGGCTGGGGGCAAATAAAGAGTGTAAGAGAAAAGGAGAATGGCAATACTTCAGGGTAACTCTAAATTAAGGTTCAGGGAAGTCGACGAAAGCCAGCATGGCTATGGTGGTTCCGGCGGCAGCATGGTAATGGTGACATAAAACGAGCCCGGCGGCTGTAATTGAAATGCAAGTAGGTGCATTGGAAAGCTGCAGAAAAGCCCGGTCAAATAGGAGTGTGATCGCATTCAAGGACAGACCTGCTAAAGGGAACTTGGCAGCATCGATGTGATCATCAGTAACTCAAACAAGAATTACGAGATTACAGTGAAAACTTTTTGGAGTCCATTCGTACGTAGTTGTACTAACGGTACGGGCGCATTTTGCTTTTTTCACAAGTTTAATGACCACGCTAAGCATTTCTATTAAGGCCAACGAAGATTTCCGCATGGCAGCTTGTGCCAACTTTGCCATTACAGTCCCAACCATCAACTTTGCCGGCCGACTCGGCTCGGGCCGAGCCTGTGCGGGTTTCGGAAGGGCGGATGCGGCGGCTCCATGCCGCTCCCGAGCGGATTTTTCTATCCCCGCGAGCTTCAGTGCTTTCCAGGCACGAGGTGCTGACCTCCGACATGCTCATATAATGCATAGGGATGCATTTCCCCTGCATTTGCCTGCTTGCAAGTCAGGCGCTTGTAGCCGACAAAATCACATCCGTCATCCGGCATCCGTCACAAATGCAAAACCAAAGCCGCAAACGTATACCAATCATTCAAATAGGGAGATTACAACCATCTCAAGCTGCCTGGTACATGGGTAAATTTAGGACCCGCAGCTGTTACCCTGGTTTAAGAGGAGTCATGGTGTCTGTGGACATGTTGCATTCGGCTGGCACTCTTTAGGAGATTTATCATAAGCTACCTTGTGGGTTGGACGCTGTTGATAGGTTTGGCTAACCGTCTGGCGACTTCTCCCTCTGTGACCTCTACGGCAACTCTTATATCATAAAGTTGAAGTTGTTGTTGATGTGTGGGACAAGGGGTTCATATCTTCTTCACCCGTGGCCTCTACCCGGCGAAACCCTGCCTTCCCCAGTATTTCGGGACACCCTTATCCAGTCACCCTAACCAACTTCTCAGTGGATCGCTCAGGTTCCGCACCCACCACCGGCATCCAACTGAATCTGCCGGATCGACGGCGGCCCAACTCCATTCCTGGTCAGCTCGCAAGTCAACTTTATCCCAGTTCACCACCCTCCATCGAGTAGGGGCGCTTTTACCTTCCACCATTGGAAGGATTTTCGACCTTGACAGGTCTCGACCCTGGGGGCATGTTGTTGGGATCTCCCGGGGGCTTGTTGTTGATGGGGTGTTACACTGTGGGCGGCTCGCCCGATAAAGGACGAGCACCGGGGGCCCTGACCGGGCCGAAACACAGCGCAGGGATGGGCGCGCGGCTCTACGTCCGTCTGTTCCTCCGCGCGCGCCTCATTCCCTCACTCACGCCAACCGGGACGCTCTCCCAGCCCCTGGCTAGGCAACACAGCGGTGCAGAGGACTGCGAACCGAACTAGTTGTTGTTGTTGTTGTTAACAACAGCGGGCTACCAAGCTTCTATACCGTAAAGCAAATAAACCGTGCCAACGGGTACATCGCCTGTCGCTGTAATAGACACACAAAGCCTGGAAGGGAAGGACAAGTGATCCGTGCCGGCATGCACAAAGTTGCATATAATACCGTAGCTATGTAGCTTTATGATAAGATTTGCCGTGAAGTTCGCTGAGGGGGAGGTCGTCAGAGAAAACGCAAGTTCAGCAAAGGACCGCCCGTCCCCGTAAAAACCGGAAGAACCTTTATCCTCGGGGCCGGTCACAGCCCCTCCCTACGCCTCCTTAACCTAAATATATTTGTTGATTACTTTTGGTTACTTTCTTGTAGTACTATTACTGCCAAGGTGGTATTTTTGGATGCAACGATACCTTAAAGAGATACCTTACAGAAGCACAAGAGGTGCTGTGCAGGGGAGTTGTAACGTGCAAGAGCAGTTACTTCTATCTCTGCACGTTTGAAGAGAAACGTCCAGAGATAGAAGTAACTGCTCTTGCACGTGCACAAAGTGGTTTCAGGTAGCTATTCTCAATACTTTTTTTTACGATGTCGTGCAATAGTACGGGTCGTACACTGGATGGCTACATCTTCGCTAGTGTATCGCATCCGATGTCTTTTGACACCTCTTTGACTGGTTGTGATAAAGGTTTTCCGTTTCAGGAGTAGCTGTACTGCTTCTTTGGCGCTGTCCGCGGCCCATCTCAGTTCTCTTTCAGGATCACCTTGAGAGTGGCTCTGTCCTGCGCCGGCTCACAACAATGTGTGTGTAAACCTTTCAATTATAACGTGAACCTGCAAATATTGCCCGAGTCCAAGTGAAAAATCCCAAACAAGGGTGCGAGGTGTGTCTGGGTAGGGCCCCACGTGCCATATAGCCATCGCCTCCCGCTGTCACTTCTGTTCCTTACAGCTTCGCTTGCTTCGGCAGGGCACCTACACCGCTATTTTCTTCGGCGACAAAGAAATGTACCAACTTGAGCAACTCAACACGAAAAAGCCTGGCCTTACATATGCACAACCTGCGCGTCCTGTGTCAACTACAACCAACTCCTAACCAACCAACTGCCACAACAACTACCAGGGCCAACGGCCTAGGTCCACCTGTGTGATGAAAGAATCAAGGCTGTGCGGGATGATCCGGAGGTTGGGAACGTGGCCTGGCACGCCCCATGCTGACCTGATAACCCCCCCCCCTCAGCAGCAGGGTGACAGGTCGCCTACGTTCGCCTACGTTCACCACAGGTGGCAGATCTCGCACTGTACGAACATCCTCACGGGTACGGCACTCGGTTGACCACATGGACGACCGCCTTCCGCCGAAGTGTGGGGACAGGCAAAGGGGAATGTCGGATGTTGTTAGTTAACAGCCCCCCTCACAAGGGATCCAACATTTTATGAGAACTCTTCTATTGAGTTTCAAGCTTAACAATAAAGCTCGGGATCGAGCAGGCCTGCTGCTGTTGCACTAAGTAACCGACGCAAATCGAGTGCGGAGATCCCGGGCGGCCGTTTTGAAAACTTCCCCAAACGGTTCAGGAACACTCCCTCCTTTGCGTGCTAAAGCCAAAAGGAAGCCCCCGATGCTGTGCACTTAAACCTTTGTAGACTTCCTACGTTATTCCATGCCGTACGCCCAAGCGTCGTACAAGGCAGGCAAAAAGCTTGGCGGGCATGTGGTGGAGATGTGGGACTGAGGGAAGACGAAGACCCATGCAACCCCGTACCCGTCATACACCGTCATCCGTACAGAACTGTACGTAAACCCGTATCTGCCGTACACTTACGTACCTGTCCTGCCCGGACGTCCTTTCCGGTGATTTCTGCTGTCCGCGAGCCTTCGATGTAGACTTGATTTGTGAACCACCTGCAGGTTGAAGTCAAGCCAAGGAAAAGGGCGACTGTGCGTATAGCGGTGTAGGACTGCCTGACGATCTACCTAAAAAGCAGGCAGCTTGGCGGGTAGTTTGGTCGGGCAGTTTGGCAGGCAGTCAAGAGAGACAGTCGCATAGGCGATTGTGAGAAATCGAAAGAGGTTTGCATCGACATGCACCACAAGATCCCGGGCCTTATAGGTGGTCTCCTTAGCTCTGAGACCCCGGACCCAATGACAGTCCCTCCGAGGGATCGAGTCGATCCTTACGCGGTCTTGTACTCCAGATCCTGCTTCAGCAGGTTTCGATAATCGGCATTGTTCTTGAAGGCAGAAGAAAGGAGCGCCTGTGAAAGGGGATTCAACGTACAGGTCAGTTTGGCGCGAAGTAACTGGTAACAGCGCCCCGAGTTTGACGGAAGCTAAAACGTTCTAAAACATACATGCCTGGAGACTTGACATGTAAAGGGTAGTCATCAAAATCCTCTTCCGCTTACTGATGTCATATCTTAGTTTACATGTGTAATCCCCCCAAAAATGCGATGATTCCGGCGGTATCTCGTTCAAGCCGGCTCCCGTTATGGGAGAGATGAAATACGATATGGGATCTCCCATATCCTGCTTACAGGCTTCGTTGCAATAAAAAAAACAATCACCAAAAAATCACCATCGTCATACATGGCTAGGGCAGGCGGCTGGCAGAGGTTAAGGCCTGACTTCGGCTCCCGGCCGACCCGAGCGCCAGCCGGCTCCTCGTGTTTGAGGAGTGAGGATATGGGAGGTGGCCCCCCATCATATGGACGGTATAGGACGTGATAATATCAACTTGCTAGCTGACCGGGAACTAAGTTGATGCGCCGTTGATCCGCTAGATTTGGTTGGATGCTGGTGGTGAGTTGCCGAACCCAACGAATACATTCTGAAGTCGGATGGGGTGACGGATTAGGGTGCCCCTCTAGCAGGGGAGAGCAGGGACTGCCCCGGGAAAGGGGGCCGCTGGCGAAGTTAACCACCCTGTAACAACATACATACATGGCTAAATATGGCAGGAGTAATTAGCAATAAATAAAGCTAGCATCATTATTATAAAAGCACAAAAAAATTAATCCCCTTGCTGATATGACTGTTTTAATTTTTGCCCTGATTAATTGATTATCTTTTAGGAATTCATGGTCAACATAGCATACCTTGCTTCAGTTCAAAGTCGCCTCCACTGGCCATGTTGTGATTTATTACCTTTCCTTAAAACGGAATTAAATGCGAGTGAAATTTTCCAAAATCAAATCAATAGGTTCACATAAATTATTTTCTAGTGAATTTAATTTTATCCAGACTTGGTCCAATCTTCATTAACTTTCTTCAGGCCAACATCAGTAGCTTTGTAAAACACAAGGAGAAGGGGCAGAATACAGCTTAAAAGGGTTTTCAGCTGATAAAATGAACTGACCAAAAACATAATCTGCGCACCAACGTAGGAGAAGAGAGCCTCCGGAATTTGGATCAAGTGGGGATTGTCCTAATTGATGCAGAAGTATAATCTGAAGACATAAAAAACCTTATAGAAGAGCTGAGCTGACTAGCGATCCTAGTGAATACTCCCGTAACGGACCATTTTTATTTATATAGTTACCCGTAAAAGTAGGGAACCTTAAGCCAAAACATAACTTAATGCCCATTATTGAAAAAATCCCTCAAAAAAATGGAAACCAATCACGTACTGTGTAAAACCCCAAACCCGACACCCTAAGTTAACACATCTAACCCTAAAATATCACCGCGTATGCCCTGGAGGGCCTTAAACGTGCGTATTCGGGCGGGAAATCGGCACGCGCTGACCATGAACTAACCACGCGCCCTTTTGCGTACCCTATTGACGTAAGTCAACTGTTGCTTTGACTTTGGCATGCGAGCTACCCGTCCCGATGTAACATTTCTCATCCGGTTCGACCGAAGTCTTTTTCATATACCTGGTTGGGCACAATCAGCCCTCGCAGCAGGCGGTCCGCAGCGGTCGAGGTGGTGAATATGTCGGCAAAGTCCTTCAGCTGGAGTTTTAATGCTACGCTCTTGGAATCCTTGTCGAAGGCGTCGTTTGTGGGCGCAAAAACAGTCTCAATTGTTGTGCCACTCTGCGATGTGTAGCAGAGGAGAGCACATGGCGATTTTTTTCTCTCGTTGTGAATGATTATGTATATGGATATGCACGTTGAATGTGTCCACCTAGGGCAGGACCAATGCCACTTGCCCAAACCAGCAGGCAAACTTCATTTGCCGCATTCCTCGCACTACAGCAAGGCGAAATGAAGCAAACATCTTATTTATATACATAAATATATTTACATGTAACTATTTACATGTAACTGTTTCACGAGGTTCTCTGCGAACAAACCCAGTAAATGCGCCCCTACGTATACGCTTATGCAGATAGGAAAGAGGAACTGTCCTATCCGCGCTTGCGTACTCAAAACATCCTTTTGATGTCTTCCATCCGGTATTCGATACTCCTCCAGGGCCGTTGCGAACCTTGAGTGCCGCGGCGCCTTCGCCTTCACCAGCAGCCCGGATAATGCGACATAGCGTCGTCAGTGTCTGGTCAGCGCAGATATAGTCGGCCGGCGTGTCGTAGGTTTCTGAAGTTAATTTCCCGGCAGCTTGCCCTACTGCAGGCACTACTAGACCACATGCAAGAAGCGACCCTAGCAACAGTAGCAGTGTCGGGAGATGCAGCCGCGTTGTGCCAGCCCCGGGAATACTGAACGCGGCCATGTGACGGAAATCTTTGAAGGTGCGTGTGTCCCGGGCAGCTGTTTCAGAACCCTAAGCGTACGGAGTGGTGATGCAGATATGGGCACGGGAGGCGAGTAGTGAGACTTATGGCGAAACGTCAAAAATGCAGTAACTGTTGTGTTGACGAGGTATATCTGGATTCAGGATGTGGATGCATGTGGAGCCTTACTTGGAGTGACGGAAGGCTTTGGTTGCGGCCCGTAACGCGCCGTACTCGTCTAGAGTCCAACAGTGACGAGGTTTGGAACAACGTTTGAAATGGTGACAAACGTTGTGTTAGAGGCGTAGTGTTACAGCGTGTCATGTGCGCGGGTGTACGAGGATTGGTACATGGGGGGCAGCAGCGCGATCGAGTGTGAGCCTTTCTCGTCATGTTTATTCCTGCGGTCCAGCATGGTCCCACGGGTCTGCGCAGACCCGTTCCTCCTAAATGTGCAGCCTGTCTCTTCGGTCAACATAACAATTATGGGATTTGGTTAAGTGCACGAATGGCAGTTTGTGGGAGCGAGTTCGCGAAGCCTCAGCTGAACTGAAAACCTGTTATAAACTTGTATGTGTGGAACCCGTATCTATCTTCCAAATTTTTGCAAGCGACTATACACCTCAAGGATATAAACAATGTGTTTAGTCCTTTACTCGATTGCTTACCGTGCGCAAGATTCTCGTCCAATTGGTTTCGGTGCATTTGCTCCTTGCAAGCCCTTGCAAGTCAGTCGCACAAGTAAGGAAAGGAACTAACACCAAAATTACGAAAGTCCAGTGAAAATGGCTCTCGCCACTCGCGCAAACGCATCGTCTCTTTGCCGAAGCAACATGCCTTCGCGGACGACTCGCATGGTCGTAACGCGAGCAACTTCACCTAGGCAAGAGCTTAACCTTACTATGACAAACATCGCTTTGACAACTGCTGCCGCAGCAGCGATGCTTCTGGCGGTCCCCACGCCCTCGTTCGCTGTTGAGGCTTCCTCGCCCTCATCGCCCGCTCCTACCGGGAGCGCGCCTGCATCTCCTTCAAGTAACGAGCGGACTTCAACTGTTAGTAGCATCTCCTTTGCGCGCGTCGACATGTCCGTAACCGAGAAGCTCCGACAGCGCGACGACAACATGGCCTGGAAGTGCAAGGGAGTGAACATGTATGGTGAGTAGGGAACCATACTAAGCAACTTAAAGTTTATTTTGATAGCACGATAAACGTAAAGAGCGCGCGTCTGAGCGTTTCTTTGGGTGTGACTGGGCACGGTTGCGGAGAGTTGCGGTCAACGCACAGAGGTGCACGGCTCCTCGCTACTTCCTACGTCTTCCTATCCTTCCCGCCCGAAGATTCTTTTCGCTGATTGAGTGCTAGCGTAGCGGATACTGATCTCTGGTGCACACGCGATGCCACAAGGCGGTTTTAAAACGTTTCGGCTGGTGTTACAGCAAGAGGGGCCGCATAGGCAAATACCATGCCGAGACTGGGGAACGGAAAGCCTGCTGCCTGTCGTACGGTGTCGTACATACCTAGCACAAGCGAGGTGGTTTTTTGCCTGTCGCCAACAAACGTAGTGCAACGTGATTATATACCCATGAATCTGTGCAAACCTGTACTGGCCGAATGCCACAACCTGAGAGAAGTGCTCTGCACATGGGATGGGATCGGTGTGTGTGCTCAGCCTCCTGTAGATCTGCCACGCATGGAAACCCCCAAAGGATGTAAAAGCCAAGTTTCTCTGCCATTGGCACCATATCCACCGTCAATGTGCTCTAGCCAACCTCTGAAACGTGCCTCTTGCTTCTGAGTCAGCGGCGCCTATGAGTCTTCGTACTCGTCATCTTTTTTCGTTGTCGGCCTTGGATTGGATTCACAGATTGCGATGGCGAGCTGGCAGAGGCCGCGGAGAAGCGTTTCGAGGAAATTGCCAACATCTTCCGCGGCGAGTCCAAGCCATGAGCCGGGAGCGTCGAATTGGGCTTATTGCATGTATGTATGTATGCATTGATTGGTCGAGCGAGAGTTGCTGCCAGTATGCGTGCGGCAACAAGGCTTTTAGCTGCTCGGCATTCGGTTGTATTTTTATGGAATATCATGTAATATTTAGTATCGGGTCGTCTAGTGGGCGGTGGAGAGGGCGGTTGATAATGTTTATGTTCCCTGTGTACGGATAGGCCGTTAGGGACCGTTAACCGTTGAGGTCAGGGCGGCAGTAGCAATGCACGAGGCAACACGGGCTTAACTGGCCTGGTCTGAGTTTTATTAAATTTGGTTTTCCTGCTGTCCTCCGAAAAAAATCTGTAAAGTCTGTAAAATTCATCAGGTCGAGGAGTGCTATCTCGGTGCACCAAAGGTGCTGTATACATGCCGACCTCGCGGCGAAGCGGACACTGTGGGGGTCGAAACCAAAGAGCAACGATACCGGGCACGTGGATTTCACTCTTTGCATTGCTGTCACTTCTATCACTGGTGAAAATGTTACCGCCAACGATTTCACCAAGGCAGGGTTCATCACTGTCGACCGAATCAGGGGATTCGGTCATCAATGCTGCTATGCCGCGTTGACTCACGGGCGTGACCACCTTACGGCCGTCCATGGCCCCTCATATCTATTCTATGATTGCAATTACTTAGTTCTGCACACTACGGAGAAATCTGGCGGCAATGGACGTCTTTGGTTCTAGGAATCGATCTATTTCCGGGTCGGCCTCGATCTATTCCTTTTTTCCTAAGGCCAAAATGCCGATTGCTTTCTTTTTCGGAAGTTATTACCTAAAAAAAACGTCGGCACCCACCCGTGCAGAAATGAAAGTGAGGAATAGCAGGTCCCCTTGAACCTTGACCGACCAGCTGACTTAGTATGTATGTTGTTACAGGGTGGTTAACTTCGCCAGCGGCCCCCTTTCCCGGGGCAGTCCCTGCTCTCCCCTGCTAGAGGGGCACCCTAATCCGTCACCCCATCCGACTTCAGAATGTATTCGTTGGGTTCGGCAACTCACCACCAGCATCCAACCAAATCTAGCGGATCAACGGCGCATCAACTTAGTTCCTGGTCAGCTCGCAAGTTGATATTATCACGTCCTACACCGTCCATATGATGGGGGGCCACCTCCCATTTCATCACTCCTCAAACACCCGAGGAGCTGGCAGGCGGATTTGAACCCGGGTCGACTGGATCGACTGGGAGCAGAAGTCAGGCCTTAACTGGCACGGGAAGGCCCGGAGCGAGAGAGTGTCGCTCACGGGGGGGTGTTGGAAATGACCGACACTCATATACCAGTGAATGGTAGCCACAGTAATAGGACCCAACGGGGGTCCGGCGCTTTGCTGGTCTTAACAGGTTATGAGCCCCGCGCTTTAGCGTGCGGTCATCCGTTTGCCCGGTGGTGCCTTTTTCTGCTGTGTGCGGACTTAGCTGTAGGCAAGGATGAAAATAGATAAGGAGGATTTTTATTTCTCCATTAGCACCTTTCACCTCTTGAAGGAGCACGTCATCGGCGTCCTTCAACGTAAAGGACTAGCGAACGCGATCAGCCCCGTGCAGGCTACGCGGGATGTAGTGACAGACGAGCAAGACCAGCGAGCTTTGGGCGTTATCAAGGAATTCATCCGCGTCCTGGAGAAGCCCCTGTACGCGCGTCACGCGAAGGCGTACGACCTGTGGCTTGCTTTGGCGGCTAAGTATGGGCAGCAGACTCGAGCTGCGAAAGAGCTTATTGGTTCAACGGTTGACCCAATTCAAGATGGAATCGAGCGAGACGATCAGCGATTACATCGCGAGGTTCCAAGCGCTTCGACTAGAGTTCGCAGCCATCGATATTAGTTTGGCGGATGACGAGGCGGTGGACCACGTCTTGAGGGGCCTACCTGATACGTATGCCATGATCCGCACAGTTATAGAAAATACTACCGACGTGGACGACGTCGAGAAGCTGGAGATGCGGCTACTCGTCGAGGAGCAGAAGATTGATACGGAGACCAAGAAGTCGCCCGTGAAGGGAGCCTACAACGTCGCGCGGCAGGCGCCACACAAGAAGAAGGACAACAGGAAGTGCTTCTACTGCAAGGAGCAGGGCCATTTAGTTGCCAAGTGTCCGAAGCTTAGACAGCCATATCCGCCACCACCACCGCCGCCGCCGCCGCCTCCCCCTCCACCACCTCCCCAGCCTTTCATGCGCCAACGACAACAACAACCAGCAAGTCGCAAATTGGCGATTTCATGGTGTAATGGATAAACCAGCGCACTGGCGCGAGGTGGGATGGCTCCTGTGCTCGAAATAATGGCCGAGGACGTCCATTGCTAAGTGGGGGGCAATGTAACGACGCAAATGCCAATCTGAGTATCCCGGGTTACGCCTTTGCTGTGTTACAATAGTATATATTACGTAGGGACCGTCCCTGCCTCTTGCCACAAGAGGGTGTCACCTATAGCATAGGTGATGAAAACTTTACTGACTAGAAGGCGACAGCTCTCCGCTCGATCTTCCACGTCCCAGGTTTTGAAACCTTTGGCCGTATCGGGTCAAGCCATCTCATGTACCGCATCCATAAGGCCCATGTGCGCCCGCACGCAGACGGCGGGGGGCCTTCGCCTGCCGCAAATGCTATCATGCTGCTGAGGGTGGAGTGTGGAGTTGGTGTGTGGAGTGTGGAGTTGGAGTGTGGAGTTGGAAGATATACACTAAAAGGCAATTTACAGGCATTCTTTTTGACACTCAGCTGCGTCTGGCCGACCTAGGTTTCCGACTTCCGGTTGAAAATGAAACTAAAAAACACTTTTCAAGGTGCTCGTGATGTTCGCTGTCTCCCTCCCTCCCCATAGTTCACCATCGGCCCCCTCACAAAACGCTCTCTCTCTCCCTCCCTCCCTCTCTCCTGCCTTTCCATGTCTTCCCAGCGCCCAAGTGCCCTCCAACAAAGAGCCCCAGAGCGTCCATCTCCCCGAAACAAGTAATGATGATGTATGGTATCGGTGACCGGACCACAACTGCCGCAATCTCACCACAGCGCACAATTTCAGCTCCAGAACGACTGCCCAAACAAACCGTACTAGACTAGCTCTTGGGCCCCCCGAGGTTACAAAGTCGGAGAGTAACGCAACTCCACAAGGTGTAGTACGCACATACACACATAAAGCGTACAATCCAAAACTCTCTCCCTCTCTCTCCTTCCCCTCTTCATCCGCAATGGCGGCTCTCTCGTGCCACACAAACCCTCAGCTCGGAGTCGGTCTTCACTCCTCCATTAGCCCGATAACCGCTCACAACAACACCAATTGCGCAGAGCACCAACACAGCACTGCCAGGCCTCCCCAACCCCCTCTGTTACCACACCAGCTGTTTCCCTTGCATACGCCAGGAACCGGTCCCTCGGCATTGATTGTGTCATGCTGGGCAATCCTCCTCACTCTTCTCCTCACCGCAACAAACGAAATGGCGGATCATATAATAGCAGAACAACTAATTTCCGTACTCCGTACTCGATTCTGGAGCACCGTACTACTTCCGCGAACTCGCTGCTCTCTCCGCCAGCCCGGGTTCACAGCCGGGCTCTCCCCGGGTGTGCCGAAATGGGCCTTCCGGCGCTTCTTCCCTCCCCCAAGACCCGCCGCCGGACCTTTCCCCCCGGACCTTTCCCCCCGGACCCCCCATTCAGTACTGTCCGGTGTTGTAGAGCCAGCCCAGCACTGCGGAGGCCTCCGTCCGGCCGCATGCCTCCGCGAGTCGAAACAGCCGTACAGCCTCGGAGCGGTCGCCCATGCCCCACACGGACCTCCCGGCCACACCGTCGAACTCCAGATAGCCTGGGTGTGACAAAGGCACGCACATACATACATACGTACATACGTGCAAACACACGCGGTCGACTGGCTCTGGGTTGCGTGAAGCGAGAGTGTGCATGTCAAAGGAGGGATGATGTCCGTGTACGACATGTCCGGTACATCAGACGCGCGGTGGAGGCTAGCACTGGTCTTAGCCGTCAGGGTAATGTCCGTCTAAACAATTGCCAGCAGCTCAACCCCCCCAAGTGTTCTACTCCCTCCCCTCCCTTGTGGAACATGTGGAGCATTTGTCTCTTTGTCTCTTTGTACCGCAAGGGGTTTTTCGGACTGCCCTTTCGGCTGATGCCCTTTGGCTCCCTCAGTGCTCGTATGTATGTTTGTATGTACGCAAGTATGTAAGTATGAATGAATGAGTATGGGGGCCCCGTGATGACACCTTTGGAGGGGGGTGAATGAGGGCGGGGTCAAACACATGCACACATTCATACAAACATACATACATACACAAACAGTACTCCCCGTCCTCCATGCTCGCTGCCCCGTCGCTCCATTGAGGCGTTTTACCTAACACGATGGAGCTCCAGCCCAGCATGTGCAGCCGCGGCGCGTCCAGAGCTGACACCTGCATTACGCAGCGACCCGTGGGTCGGTCGGTGGAACACACTCCATCGTGCATTAACTAATTTCTTTTAATAACTTGTGAACTCCCACCACCCTACCGAGAACACGACGACCCCATAACGATCCGCGCCGGGCCCAAGGAAGAACCCAACCCCCAAGAATATCACAGACTTGCACCCACCATCGCCTTCAGCGCAGGGCCGATTCGAGCCCCCGGCAATCTACTTTGCGGCCTTGACAACCGATTCGTGCTGACATTCGTAACCGATGGCAAAGCAGCTGCAGCTTCTTCTGAGTAGGAAGCGGCAGCAGTAGCAGCCGCAGTAATAGCCCCCGCCGCCGCCGCACAGCCTCCTTGGTGTCCGTCCATGCAGATGGCAGAGAGGTGGTCGACGTTCATTATGGAGCGAACTGTGCGGCCCAGCCACAAGTGAGCGGCCTCAGGGTCAGGCTGCATACCTGGAAGCAAGACGGGTAGGAGCCGGCAATATATACCGCGGGAAGGAGGGGACACGGAACCACAGGAAACTCAACTAACAAGTTAATAAAACCATAATTAGTCAAGAATTAACATTATAAAAATAAAAAAGAAATCACCAAGATAAAAAGTAACATGATTAAATTTAAAAGAAAAAATCACCGATATATTAAGTGAATAAGTAAATAAGAGAAATTAATAGCAACCGCGATCAGACAGGACGGGATGCGACAATCCGTGACAGGACGCGACCAGGCGGTGCTGTTCGACATCATGATGCCGTACAGTACGGTACTTTAACAACGGGGTAATATTACGGGAGCTAGGTTGCGTGTGAAGAGCAGCACTAGCGATAAAGTAACGGACGAGCTGATGGTGAACCACTCACCGTGCGAGCCGTCGTACGCCGCCGTACCCAGTTTGAACATGGCCATCACATCACCCCACTGGGCCAACTTCCGCCACCAACGAAGCGCACCACGAGGGTCGTCGGAGGCCTAACGTGCAAGGCAAGACGAGGACAACACAAAACAAAACAACACAACACGTGGCACAGCAACACGGCACCATAACATGTTTATGCAAACGAGCATCAAACGACACAACAGAAGCACGTGGCAACCACATCGCCTCAGAGCCGCAGCCAAGACCTCTTACAAGTCAGGTTGGAAAGATCCAAGATCTCTTGGGATTCTGGATCTGGATTCATACGGCGTTTAACCCCGTCCCCGTCCCCGTCCCCGTCCCCACAGATCCCCCCCCGGGGCCCCTAGTACCCCCCGGCTAGCCGCCCTCCTTTCCCCCCTTTCAGTAGTTCACTCTTTCCTTCTTGTCGTACGTTTCGTATATTCTCCCTCCCGCTCCCTCTTCCGTTCCCCTCACCCCACCTCCAGCAGTTGTGCTAGCACCAGCTGAGCGCTGGGATTGGAGGCCTGGGCCGCCGCCAACAGCAGCCGCGGCAGCGGCGGCGTCCCGGGCGAAGTCCCCTCCCTTCGCAGCAGCAGTGGCAGTGGCGGCGGCGGCGGCGGCAGTGGAGAGCCGTCTGTCGTCACAGCCGCCGCCGCTGGCAAGGCCTGGGCGTGTTTTTCATGCCGCCATGAACTCTCTGCGCCGCTTCGCGCTTCCTGCTGTTGCTGTTGCTGCTGCTGTTGCTGCTGCTGTGTAATGGAGCCGTGGGATGGAAGCAGAAAGGCCCCCGCGGCGTGCTGCTTCGACATGGCAGTCGCCAGAACATCCTGCTCGTCCACTGGTGTACGACATGACAGCAGCCGCAACGCGCCGCTTCCGCCGCCGTCGCCGCGGGTCCTGGCAGCGGCGCTGGCGCCGCCGAACGAACCGCCCAAGGCCCTATGGCTACGGCCGGCGGCAGGGTGGCTACAGGACGAGGAAAGCTGATGGGACGAGAATCCTCCTCCTCCACTACTGGTACGGCCATTCGAACCACCATTCGAACGACCATTCAGGGCCGCCGATGGGCCGCCGGCCCCATCTGCTGTACTGGCTATGTTAGCGGGGATTGGCGGCATCTCTAGCGGAGCAGCTGTGGGCGCGTAGCGCCCTGCCGCAGCCGCGAGTGCAACCTTTGTGCCGCCGCCGCCGCCGGCGGCAGCGGCGGCGGCGGCGGTTCCTTCCGTCTCGGCAGTGGCAGTGGTGAAGGTACGGAACACCGATACGGTGCCCTGCGGCTGCTGCTGCGCTTGCCTTGTTGGGCTGTCAGGCTTAACGCGGCCGAAGGGGCAGGTGAGGTCGAGGGAGAATGCGATTCTGCGAAGGAGGGGTGTGTGGGCCAGCAGTGCGCCGCGCCAGCCTCGACACACCGCCGCCATGGCTTGGACCTGCAGGCCGGGCGGGGATTGTGCGCGCGCGTTGGGGGGTTTTAGATCAGCATCACCTATACCGCGGGGATTGTGCGCGCGCGTTGGGGGAATGGGGTAAAACACACCGTGGCCGGCTCAAAGTTAATCGGAGGAGAAAGAGGGGGAGTTGGGGAGTGGGGAGTGGGGAGGCACAGGAGGGTAACAAATAAAACACGGCCCGATGACGGGTGGCGGATTAGGGACATGACCGCGACGGCGAATAAGATCGCGACGCGTGAAGGAGGTCATCGTCATTCACCCGATACTCATAGCCGATCCACATTGACGACCTCTTTTGAAAAGGTTATCCATCCGCTGCGTAAAAATATTTCGTAATTTGATATTTAAAAATTTTGAATATAATTTAATAAAAGAGATATTAATAAAAAATATTTAGTTCATAAAATAATAATATTAAAATTTCAGCTCAAAACCCCAACAATGGGCTTTCCTCGCGGAGCGTCAGATGTGATCGCTGAGCTCTCCCCGCTTGACCCCACCTAGCACCCAGGCACCCAGGCACCTGGGATGCCTGCTGAGGCAGCTGCATGGCGATACACACCACCGCGTCGCAACCCAGCTCGCCCCAGGGCATCTCCACCTCCACCTCCACCTCCACCTCAGCAGACGTCGACGTGGACGTGTCCGCAGCTACGGAAACGGTGACCGGCACCCGGGGGGGGAAGGTGGTGGCTGCTGCTGCTGCCGCTGCCGCCGCCGCCGCTGCTGCTGCTGCTTTCACATTGTCCCGTTTGTCATTTCTGGCCCTCAGATCCAGAACCGCCCGGCTCGCACCCCCATGAAGGTGCGAGTGAGGGTCGTCATCTGCGTCATCCAGCTCCATCCAGGATTTCTCAGCAACCTCGTCCTCCGCTTTTCCCCCATCCTCCGCTTTTCCCCCATCCTCCTCTTCTCCCTCTGCCTTTGGCGGGCGCAACACTTTAACAGTGCCCTCTTCGAAACATCCTTCCACTTGGCACCGCTGCTGTAGCTGCCGTTGCTGCTGCTGCCGGTGCCTCTCCAACTGCTGCTGTAGCTGCTGCGGCTGCTGCCGGCCGCCTGCCCGGCTGTCACCAACCCCTTCCCACAGGGGGGTTTTGGAGCCAGCAAAAACTAACTCCCCGCGAGATGACGCCGATGCCGAAACAAAAGACTCGTCAGCTGTGACCGGTGTGACCCGTGGGTCCGTTACGCCCATGGGGTCCATTGTGACCCATGGGTCAAACGACGTGCGACCACTGGCACTTTGCGGCCACGGTGCTGAATGGAACTCGCCACTGCTGCGCGCGCTCTTGCACGGCGGCTCCTCCGTTTCCTTTCCATCTTCTTGCTCGCCCTCGGAAGGTCTCCGAAACCATCGAAGGTGGGGCGCACCGCCGCTCGCCGTTGCCGCGACCGTGGCGGCCGCCTCGGGGAAAACGCTGGTTTCGGGGCCACTGACACCTTCCAGCTCATGTGCCGTGGCTACACTTGTGCCGCTGCCTATCGCGGAGGGGGTTGTGGGGGCGTTGCCATTGGCAACGGCAGCGTTGCCGCTGTCAGTGACGTGAGTCGCTCCAATGGAGCAGCTGGTGTTGGCGTTGAGAGCATGACTCATCGAGGCCATGTTGGCGTTACGACTCCTCAAGATTGCCCGCATAGCCAGCTGCCGCTGCTGGGGACATGGATGTACCTGGTGCCATCGTTGCTGCGGCTGTAGCTGCTGCGGCTGTAGCTGCTGTGGTCCCTGCCCTATGTCCGAATCAGTTAGCGGGAGCTGCGGAGCAGCTGCTTGTGCTGGTGAGGGCAAAGCTTCGCCTGCTGGACCACCGGCTCCGGACGTGCCTCCGGATAGGTAGTCAAGCGGATGCGTGTAGGGGCTCTGAAGGGCAGCGAGATGACGACCATTACGGTTGGAGTCCTTCGGGCGGCGCGGCTGTGAGGGTGGAGGCGGCGAATGGGCGGATGTGGCTGCTGTTGCTGCTGCTGCTGCTGCTGATGATGATGATGATGCAGCGATGGTTGTGAAGGTGGGGCTGTTGGAGGAGCGCAGCAGGCTGTCGAGTAGTACGGCAGGTGAGGTGAAGGAGTTGGGGGTTGGGCTGAAGATCAGACAGGCATCGCCGTTGATGGCATGGCCAGCTAAAAAGCTGGCCTTGGCATTCACCTGCACCAGCGCGTATGTATGTATGTATGTATGTATGTATGTCACGAGACCAACGGACAACAAACAACGACGGTTATATAGTTTTAACTCGTACTTAGGGTTTAAATGGTGTTATTACAGTGCTAAAGGACCCCCGTCCTACTTGAGAGGGATATTATTCCTGATTGGTAATTTGTTGGGGCAGAAGAAGTTGTACTGGCGATGCAGATGCAGGCAACCGCGCTGGCAATCGCGTCCGTCATGAGCACTTAGTGGCGGAAGTGTTTGTGGTGCTTGTGATTGTGGTTGTGGCGGTATTACAGCGGGCTACCAAGCTACTACGCCTGAGAGCAAAGAAGCCGAGCACATGTGTTGTGGCGACGGAGAGGCTCAGTGGGGCTCTCACCACCTCCCCCCCCAAGGAGCAGCATGATGTCATGGAGGTCTTCTCGGTGCGCAGCGGAATATGGTCATCTGGGTTGATCATCTCTATGTCGCGTTGGGGTTGAGAATGTGATCTTCGGGGAGGGTGGCTGTTCGCTGTGCATGACGTTCGTGTATTGCGACCATGCAAGCCTTGGCCTTAGGCCTTACACAGGCTTGGCCTAGGCTTGGGCTTAGACATATACCCTTAGCATAATGGTGCTACGTACATTGGAGCTGAGCTTGTGGGTGTAGAGGAGCTTGACAGAGGGATGGGAGCGAAGAGCAAGCTCATAGACGGGGCCCTGAGGATGGGGCCGGACCATGGGTGCGCATGTCCAAGGCGTTACTAGCAACAAGGTCAGTGCTCAGAGAAACATGAGCAAGATAGGACAGGGGAAATGCAACAGCAAAGGTAGCCCCATTGCTGCTGTTTGCTGATAAGCACAAAATCGAAGGGTCGCTTACTGTGGGAAGAGCATCTGCACCCGAAGTCCCAGGCGGAAGCGCGGCTACGTCCCCACATTCCGTCAGCATCCACACAAAACGCGGTAAGGTCATTTGGGATGCCTGGCTACTGCGCAGTACAGAGCTTCATCACTAAGGTCCCTAGCGTGATCTAGTGCTGGACGAAGACACGTTACTTGAGAAACCGCGCATGCGCATTCTTGGCTAAATCTTTCGCCCTGCAACAAAAAATTGCACCTGTGGCAGTTGCCATACGACATCCTAACTTCCTTGTTGAACGAGACCAGCACATAACTTGTTTCTTCTCCACCCTGTTGGTGCCGTCACCTAGACTTATAGCATGTGAACATACTACGTGTAAGCATGGGTGAACTTGCAGACAGGCCGTCGTCGTGGCTGAATTTTGTCTCTTACGGTGGCCTCGCCTCGCTGGGCATCAGCGCTGTTCTCTTTCAGGTCCGTAATACCAATACTTGCTGGTCACAGGGAACAATATCAGCTGTTGCCTCCTAACCGCGCACCAGCATAACCGTCTTGGACGGACGGAATTGTCTTTGGGTCCGCCACGCACGAATTTTCCCAACTAGCGTGTATAGGACGTTGCTGTTCACAAAAGACTATAGCTGTCAGTATCGTCACAAATCTCCGGGCATCCTTAACGGCCTCATCATATGACATCTGAACGTCCAACGCCAGCTCAGCGCATCTTCCCTACGATTTCACCCCACCCGCTATTCTCCTCACAGCTTGCCAAGCTCCAGGATGGTCGCGTGTTTGAGCTCGACCGGGCGCAGGCGTTGGAGACCCTGGCGAGTAAGTCCGCCTGTGCAGACCCAGACACCAACAGCCCTTTTCACCTTTCCCTCCACTACTTCCATCACGTTCCCCAAAGCGCACTTAACTTAAAACAAAAAGCGGGCTATTACACAAAAAGAAGGAAATTGGAAGAGCGGCACAGGAAAACTCGTCAATTATCTTTCACTCCCTCTTTCCCCCCGCCCCACCTCAGGCATCTGTCGCCCAGATCACATACTGCCCCTACTGGTTGCCGTACGGGGCCGGATCACATGTCGGGAGCCGGCCGTGTGCCAGCTCAGCGGTGTGCCGGCAGTCATGCGGGAGGTAGGTCGGGGATTAGCTACGTGGTTGGGTTTTGGGGCCGCGTGGGGCACCTTACCCACACCGCACGCTTACCCATGGGAGGGAGAAAAAGGGGGCTCGGTGCGCGGGGGGGCACAGAGGTGCAAGGGAGTTATACCTACTTCATTCAATATCTTGATCCAAGCTCGTATGTATTTTAATTCAAAAAGCCCTTAGAAATGGGGTCACCTCATCTTCAGAACTCTCCCCGCCTCCTCCTCTTCCTCGACCCGACCTGAGCTCGCCCTAGTCCGGGCCGCCACGCCAACCCCCCACTACACCCCGGACTCATTTGCCGTGTCGGCCGGGAAGAAACGTGCCTCCTTCAAAACCCTTTCCCACCCCTTTTCTCTCATCCCCCGCCCCCAAACGCCAGTGGTTCGTCTTACGGGGCCCCCTCCCCCCTAACGCTCCCCGCTCCGCTCCGCGCCCTTTCCCCGCTTCCCCCTCCACCCCCAGTTAGTGGAGGAGGAGGTGTATTTCAAGGAGCAACACACTGGTCGTACATCGCAGGAGTGTTTTGAAATCCGAAGGGAACAGGAACAGCGGGAGGCGTTCCTGGTGAGGTGGGGTTTGCGGGCGAAGCGGGCTGAGGGGGGGTAGAGGAGAGGGAGGGGGGGTAGAGGAGAGGGATCAACATGCTACCCTTATTCCACCGCCATCATCCAACCACCACCAACCGCCAACCACCAACCACCTTGTCACCTACAGGAGGACCGCACTGGCAGCATCCGACTTGAGAACTTGCAACACGCGTCCGGGCTGCCAGGGGTGATGGAGGTGAAGCAGGAGTTCAGACATGCAGACCTGTTGCAGGGGACGTTGCTGCAGGCGGTGCTCAGCAAGGCGCTGTGAGTGCTGGGGCAGTGCCGCCGCTGCTGCTGCTGCTGCTGTGTGTGTGTGTGCATGTTGGGGGGGGGAAGGGGGGAGGGCAGGCATGTGTCGATGTGTGTTTGGGGGGGGGGGGAAATATGAAGGGGCCGCAACGGAAGAGCTCCACTCTCTAAGCACCCCTCAGCACACACATCCCCCGCAAATCAAAACCGCTTACTGGTCAGTTCTGCTTCTTTTTCCTTGGCAGCAGCTTCACTCGTTCGTGGTTCGTCTTTTTCCCCCCAACTGCCTTTCGACATCCCATGCCTTTTTGTAAGACACGAGCCGGACCGAGCCGACACACCCACTAACCATGGGGGGGGGGGCCCCCACATACATACACATACACACACACGCACAGGAAGAGCATGGTAAAGCACGGGGTGAGGGTAACGGAGCGCTACCTTCCAGTGGACACTGCCGTGACGGTGGTGGGAGAGCTCGTGGCGGATTGCATGGGCAGCACCGCCGCTGCCGCGGCAGGGTGTCGTACACGCCCCGCCGCTGGCGGCAGCGGCAACCCACTACTGGCGTCTTCGTCACAACAGCAGCCGTCGGACGTCAGCGGCAGCGGCGTCGAGGCAGCGGCGGCCGCTGACGTTGCCCGTACGGCGACCGGCGGCGGCGGCGGCACCGGGAGTTTATCAGCAGCGGCGACGGCGGTGGCGGCGGCGGCAGGTGCGGAGCTGCTTGGGCAGGCGGCGCTGCAGGCGTTGCCGTACACACTGCGCATGCCGGGCCGGGGCCCGTTCCACGTGACGACGCTGACGCTGCCGCAGCTGAGGGCTTCTCTGGAGCGGACGTCGGGGGTCATCCGGGTGAGAGACCAAAGACGACCCATGGGTCATGAAAAAAAGGCGTAATAAAAAAAGCTGCTATCCTTTAAAAGGAGTATATGTTTTACGAGGACCTTGCCCAGCTTAGGGTTTTTCAGCGTGTGATGTAATATAAATCTGATGATAAGGGAAGTTGATTTTTCGGTTTGAGGCCCCAAGCCCGACCCCAACCCTAGGTGTGAAGGTCCGGGCCCCGGGTCCACTGGCACTACCACGCCGCTGCCACCCAGAGGTGGGGGACGGGGCGGCAGTCCGCTCTGGTCAAGAGTGATCTTGTTAAGAGTGATCGAGATGCGGTGCAGTGCGGTGTGTGTTTGGGTTGGGTTCGGGTTGGATGTCAGCTCCCAGGCAGCCGCTATCCGCTATCCCTACCTGCCATGCGGTATATGGTGTGTATATATGCGCCCTGGGAGGCCCACACAGCAGCAGCTTCACCCACCTCTTTTGAGGAAGTGAATTGTCCGAGCTCCATCGCACCCTTCTCTTTAAGCCCTACGTTTCCCGATAACTTGGGTTCCTGAATGCTTGCCTGTCCGCCTGTATGTCCGTCTACCTACCTGTCTGTCTGTCTGTCTGTCTGTCTGTCTGTCTGTCTGTCTATATCTCTTTGCCTGTATATGCATGTCCGATGTAGGGCCGGCCAATCCTTTCCTATTATTTGATATTGTTGTTGCTCGGCTGCTTGACTGCTGGGGCAATTGATCTCGGCTACTGCGATACCCCCCCACACACACACACGCGCACACAGGCCTTTGCCTGGGGCTTCGGTCTGCTGGGGGCGGCTCTGTTCGTCCGCAAAGCGGCCCAAGCCTACCACCGGCTCCAAGCCTACCGCCGCTACAAGCGCTACGCCGCTTTGGCCGAGGCCGCGAGGCGTACGGCCGCCGCTGGTGGCGGTGCCGCCGCAGGCATGGGCACTTCCGCCGCCACGGGCGCCACCGCCGGCGACGACGACGGTGACGGCGTCCGTAGCCCCGGCACGTGCGTCGTGTGTCTGGACCGGGACAGCGATGTGGTTTATGCGGCATGCGGTCACATGTGTGTGTGTAACCTGTGCAGCGCCGCCTTGCACCGTTGCCCCATTTGCAGAGTGACGAGTCGAACTATCCGGGTGTTTCGTCCGTAGGCATGTATGCATGTACGTAGGTATGTATGTAGGTACGTCAGTAGGTAGGTACTGTCTTTATTGTATTTTCCGGGTGTCTCTGCAACGGTATGTAATGTAACAGTAACAGGTTATGGTGAATGGTGTTACATACATGCATACATACCAGGGGGTGAATGTAATGGTTCTGATGGTTCCGGAGTGCACTTACGTAGATGGTGGAGGTAATGCTGGCCCTCCCACTGCCCGCATAACACACACACACACCGGGGGGGGGGAGACTCTCCAAAATGTGGAGAGGAGCCCAAATTCTATTTTGTTACACGTGTATGTTGCTGTTGCCCTTGTATTGGTGCCGCTGCTATAGCAGTGTGTGTCGGTGCCGACAGCTCCGAAACCGGTGGTACCTAGCGTTGGGGCTGATTCATCATCATGACGTCGTCAAATTGTTCTACTGCTGCTACTACTGCTACTGCTGCTGCTGCTGCTGCTGTTGCTACAACAGTAATGAAACTGCTGTTCGTGGATTGGTGAATTGCTAAGTGGTTCGGCACGTCAGTGCCAGTAGGTGCGGCTGGCTGGCTGGTAGCCGTTTTAAATAGCTTCCCCTCTGGGTAGCAGTAGTAACAGTGGCAGTAGCTGGGGTAGTGGTATTATTGTGGTAATGGTAGTGGTAGGAGCGACTCCGAATGTAGGCAGTGTCAGTGGGGCCCAACACTTTGGTGTGAGTGGATGTTTTTGAGGTGTCACGAATGCCCCCGGCCCGGCGTGGGGGGAAAGCGGGGGGGGGAGTCATTGGTCATTACTAAAGAACAAACCAAGGGAGTGAAGGGATGGGAGATGGTGCTGATCATTGGTACTGCGCACCTGAAGGAGGAGAGTGTGTGTGTAAGTGTACACGTGCAAGAGCGATAATTGAGACGTGTCCTGCACAGTGATGTCGGTGATACGATGATGCTTTCGATGGTATTAACAACAAACCCCACGGCCTCTTCTTGAGGGGGTTCGCCCTCGTATAAAGCTGTGGCAGCATTTCGCCGCCAGGTGTGATCAGGTGGATGAGCGGTTGTCGGCTCATGGGCTGCGAGTGATTGGCGAGGAGAGAGCTGTGTCGCACACATCGCGCGCTGACATTGGCCCCTAGATATGCTGAGCTGGTTGCCAGATGTGTCCCAGCTGCGGCCAGAAGTTCTTTTCCTTACGTTGTTTCCTTACGTTATGCTGCACCGCTTCCCTTGGGCTGCTTCCCTCGGAGGACCTTTTTTGGACGGAGCGAGTGTCTTGCAGGTGTCGAAGTGCCAGCTCGGTCCTCCTTTCGTGAAGATTGCGGAAACGGCGTTTGTGTTGTTGTTGGTGGTGGTGGTGTTGGTGGTGGTAGTTGTGGTGTTGGTGGTGTGCGGGGGTTGTATTTTGCCATGTATTTGTTGTCAGTGGGAACCTGGGAGAGCAGCCAAAGACATAACCGGTCCCAAAAAGCGCCCCTACACAACAGTGTGTCTGTCTATCTATCTGTCTGTCTGTGTGCATTCACGATACCGTACGTGCGCGGACGCAAGAATATACATGCACGCACGGATTAACTTCTACATCTTAACAACCCTCTGCGGTCAATTATCAGCAACTGGCAACGGCCAACTGACCACAAAGCCAACGGCCAACAGTCAGCAACCGAATGGCTGTGTGCGGTCCTCATTCGACTGCACAGCAAATTGCTGTCAGCAATGCTGTGTTGTTGTTGGAGACGCGCTACACTCGAACCGTGGTGGATAAGATCTTTCCGTCATCCCACCGATATCGCACGAGACGTTGAACCCTACAGTGATGGGATGTGATAACTCAGAGCAACCGAAACAGCTGCCACAGCCGCTAAATAGTTGCTGCAAAAGTAGCAAAAGCAGTAGTAGCGTTTCCTACGTACGTCAGCCGCGTGCCCCATTCCTCTCTCTCCGCAACCATTAAATGCATACATACATATGTGCGCGCGTGCATACGCATGTATGGGTATGTGTGGGGTGCTACTATTTTTTACACTAGGGTTAGGCACTACTGGTAACGCGCGACCATTGCCCCCGGGAGATCCCAGGATTGAGACCTGTCAGGGTCGAAATTCTTTCCGATGGTGGAAGGTATTGTGCCCCTAGTTGATGGACGGTGGTGACCTGGGATAAAGTTAACCTGCGAGCCGACCAGGAATGGAGTTGGGCCGCTGTCGATCCTGCAGATTCCGTTGGATGCTGGTGGTGGGTGCGGAGCCTGAGCGATCCACTGAGAAATTGACTAGGGTAACTGGCAGTGTTTTTTTAAGTAATATATATTCCTTATAAGGAATAAAGAGGCCATTTTGGCCTTTGGAAAACGGAATGAATTGAGGCCGATCCGTACATTTTCATTCCTCCAGCCAAAAACGTCGATTGCTGCCAGATTGCTCCGTAGTGTGCAGAACTTAGTATTATCGATCATAGAATAGATATGAGGGGCCGTAAGAAGGTCAAACCCGTGAGTCAACGCGGCATAGCAGCATGTATGACCGGTCCTCACATAGCCAAACACGCAAAAGGCAACGACTCGAACGTCGAACAAACACCAAAACAGCAAGATAAGCCTGAAAATGTTCCTGATAAAGGCGTTTGGGACGGCGGTGCTGTTGTCGGTAATTCATCGGCAATGGTGTTGCTGCCAGCGGCGACCGATGACACGGGCGCCATTACCCCTGCCTTCCATGGCGGGTGTGATCAGCCTACGCGCAAGCTGTCACCCAATCAGCTCGACAACAACGACAGTGAATGCGGCGAGGCCGGTGATCCATTTCAGGCGCAGTGTCAGAGCTATCTATGCATGTGCATGAAGAGTGCGCACATGAACGAAAACGCGCCAACTCAGTGCGTGCCTCTTGGTCTATGAGGGGAGTTGTAACTTATCGGGGGGGGTCTGGGGGCCGCCCCACACTTAAGGAATAAATTACGACGAACCTAGCAACTTTGTTACTTAGGTCGGAATAAATTGAGACCCGCCCTAAATGAAAAAAAATCACTGGTGACTGGATGAGGGTGCCCCGAAATACCGGGGAAGGCAGGGTTTCGCAGGGTAGCTGCCACGGGCGAAGATATACCCCCCTGTTTCACACATCATACATGTAACATGTACAGCTGCTTCTTTATCCCTTTTCCCTCTTCCGATAACAGCTAGTGCTAGTGCTACTAATAGAATTCTTTCGATATTTCGATGTTTCCTCAATGCTGAAGTCCCCGGCTGATGCTCTTTTGCCAGGCGGCTCCAACGACAGCCAACTGCCACCGCTGCTGCAGCTGCCACCGCCACCGCCACCGCCGTCAGGTTTAACCGCGGCAATGGCCACGGTGACGATGACGTTAGCAGTAGCGCGGCGCAATACGGCCCCGTGGCCTGGTAATTTCATGTACTTCACAACAAGTGATCTCGGTTTTCCGTTTTCTGTTTTGCAATGTCGTACAAGGCCGTGAGACAAGGCCCTGGAAATGAGGCTGGCTACCTTTTTGCGGTAGTGTGCTGATGCCTTTCTTGAGCGGTGTGCGCGGATCTAGATCTGGATCTGGATCTGAATTCGGATCTGGATTACCACCTAATCAGGCAAGCAACGGCAAGCATTGACGGTGGCGATGCTGCCATCATCTTCCAGGTAGTTGGCTGCCCCGCCGCCACCGCCGATGCTGCCCCGCCGCCACCACCGCCTTCGTAAAGTCCGTGTAAGGGCTGGTTGGGGGATGCTGTGAATGCGCAGATGCGTGGTGCAGCGGCTATGTATGTAACCATGGCCCCGAAACCACTATGATATTATCATGTAGCGGCAGCTGCTACTGCCGCCGCCGCCGCCGTTGTTGTTGTTGCGGCAGCTGATGGCTCATGCGGCGGGGAGGAGGTCATGGCAACGGCACCGCTGCCTTCAGCAGGCGCCTCTGCGGCCTTGCCGCTAGCCGCTCCCCAGCCGCTTCACCCCTTCCAGCTTCCACTCCCACTCCGGGTCCGGATAGCATCAGCTGTGACACTGAGCTGTGCATCGGCTTTAGAATCCAAGAAGGAAGTTGTAGTAGCGCTGCCGCTGCCGGCGCCTTAGACAGTGCCGCCCCCGATGGTCATGGTGCACATGATGGAGTCGCCAATGGCCCTGGTGCCGCCAGTACTGTACAGCTGTGGATTCAATGAGTGCCTGCCGTGATTGCTATTATCCCCAGTACCTGTCATGTCTCCCAAACCACCAGTAAATTGATGTAGGGTTTTAGGGTTTTAAGGTAGGCAGAGCGCTGCGTAGATGGCGGTGTTGAAGGGGCGTGCTTGGACGCTCTCGTATGTTCAGGTTTTATGGGTTTTAACAACTTAAAACGGTTTTAGTTCGTCCACGTTTGCAGGAGCCATCACATGTGGTGATGTAAGTAGCGTTTCATCAAACTTAAATAATTTATTTTCCTTCCTTCCAATCCTGCCCCCAAAACCCTTAAGAAACTCTAAAACCGTAAAACCCTAGGAAACGGAACCCTAGAACTACAACAATAATTTACAAGTTCGAATTTCATACATTCATTCGTGATCAGTGATAGACAGCAATCGCAGCAGGCAAGATACGGATACATGTGTGTCATGACAGACGTGTTGGAAGACTGTGTATCGCCATACATCATATCACTTGGCTGTGTCAGCGACCACATGGTGGGACAAGGGCTGTGTCGGCTTCCTTGAAGCCAGGAAAAGGTGTTGATGTGACTTCAATGGAGGCAGCCAAAGTCGTTTTTGCTAATAAGATTTTTGTTGGCTACAGGCGAGATACCTTGCAATAGAGAATGCAATATATTACCAATAACGTGTTTCAGCCGGCCGAGATATTATGTTTGGTCCATTACACACACACACACATGGCCACACGGACATGAGCAATCCTACAGGGCACGGCCCCCTGGGCGCTTCACGCTGGGGCCCCGCCTCATAAAAAACCTTTCCCCCTCTTCCATCCCACAGGTTAGCACATCCATGTCCAGGGCAAGGTCAACATGCAATCACACTACCAATCCACTCCAATCCAGGAGGTCAGCACCAGCCTGTGCCACCTGCCCACACAGTACAAAATTGCAATAACTTCACACTCACTTACCCAACACTCTACTCGTACAACATCAAAAACACTTAGCTGGCCCAGGGTGTCCCCCTTCCTGAAAGCATTACACCCACTGCAGATCTGCAAGCACCTTGCAGCCAGCAGCCCCAACAGCAGTCCAGCACATGCAATCAACACATATGCAGTCCCCTAAAATTACACATAAACAATACTGGAGCAGGGATGGGGAACAGGGGGAATGTTTTTCCACAACCAAGCAAAGCTGCAGCATGCAAGACTGCTTATGCATTAACATGCCAGTGGTGTGCAACGACTAGGGACCACAGACACTAAAGCCAATGCGACAAACAGGTCATATGAAGTGAAGTTGATGGCCCATCGCCTGGCAGAAATCTTCACCAGCCACTCAAGAGATGCTAAGGCGTGTATTCAGCTGTACACATATTCAGCCATACATGTATTCAGCTGTATTCAGCCATACACGTATTTAGAGTACAAACCTACTCTGCTCATGCTACTGCTCATATCTGTAGCCATTTCCTTGTACAACTCAGGGCACTTACAGATACAAGCCCATCTGTGCCTATACCTACACAACCTGCAATTCCAGCAAATGAGCAAATGCCAGCCTTGTCCAGTCTCCAGATACACACCAGCCCAACAGTGAGCATGAATCCTGATGTCTGGAGAGCCCAGTACGGCATCATGCCCCAGTGACCTCACCAAGCAAAGCCAGCAACTAGTTCCAAAGCCTCTGACAACCACAACCTAGTACCCACGTCCACAACAGCCACCTTGCCACCACCAGCGGATGCAGCTGACACTGCTACAGCAGCAACACCATCTCCGCCATCTGGGGGCAGCAGATGAGATGCTCGAGATATGGGGCTTCAGAAGGATGGCTATGCAGGGATTCAACTGTGGCAGATGGCTGCACCTCGGGATCGAGATGCCAGTTGGGGACCTACTCAAGGCAGACGGCACAACATGGCCACCTCTGCCAGCAGTCGGAAAGTTGTTGCTGCTGCTACTGCTGGAGATTCCCAGGGCTACTGGGTTCAGAACCAGGAGCAAAGCCCACTAGCGGGATCTCGATGGCAAACTGCTCCATCTGAACGGAGTCTTCAGCCTCCCCCTTAAAGTGTTGCTTCCTGAACCGCTCGAACAGGTCAGGCGGCACTGCAAAGTACATCTCATGCTTGAGCCGCTTCAGGTCCCTGGACAGTTTCTGCATGGAGGCTTGCAGCCCCGACATGACAACTGGGTGCTTAGCAGAGACAGTCACCTGGATAAGGAGCAGTTGCTTTGCCTTGCCATTCTTGTCAGGCAAAATAAGAAAGCTGTCTACACCAGCAAAGTTCCTTGCCACCGGCACCAGGAGCCCAGACCCTGTTGTTGCAAGCTTCACGTGTTTGAGGTCGCTGTCCTGCACATCCTTCAGCTCCATTTTCGGCACTGTCAGATCAAACCGCTGCTCAGGGTCAGAAAGGCTGCGCACACGAAACAAGCCGCCACTGCACAATAAGTCATGTGCTAGCCCCTGGAACATCACACCTCTAAGTGAAGCCAAATCCGGTCTGCCAGCAGACCACTTGATGAAATCAGCTAACTTAGCAGTACCCTGCCGATGCAGCTGCTGCATCACACGCTGGCCGATTTCCTTGGAGCCAAAGACAAGGCGTTTCCTGCTGCATTTCTCCTCATCCACCTGCATGTCATTGCGACAAACCAGGACATGTCAAAGGCTTGTCAGATGGTGTGCAGAACCAATGCTGTTGCCACACACTCCGTGCACAGCCCTGCTTTTATCAATGGTGTTGATTTTCAGTGGCTTTCCCATGGGTTTTCCCCTGTGGGCCTTTAGATATGCATATCTACCTCATATTGCCTGCCCAATGCAAAGTCACCAGTTGCAACACACAGGACATCTGCTGATGGTCGAGTTGAGAAGACCTCACACTGACCTTAACGTGGATCAGTTTGTGACTGACTTCCAGTGCAGCTTCAATGTTGCCTACGGATTTCCACAAGAGACCCATATTAACGACTGCCACCGCTGCATCAAGCTTCTGCTGCTGGTTGGGGTCGTCTGCACACTGCAGGACGTAGCGTGGGATGCCGCCCCACCGAGCATACAGCCGTGACAGTGTCTCATCATTGACTGAATTGAACACGGTGGCACGTGCCGCCTTCAGCTCCTGTTCGGACCAGGGCCCCATCCACAGCTCCGTGCCGGCTCGCTTGGCATAATCCTACAGAACACATCATTAGCATGCAGATGATAAGAACATGCTAAAAATACAGCACACTGCTCATGCTGCCATAGCCAATGGACCCCGGATATGTTGCAACAAGTCCAGCACTACTGATATGTTGCGGCAAGTCCAAACACTACATGGGGCAAAACAGTGCTAGATAAATCATTTCAAATGTGCAACAAGCCGGGATGTAAGGGGGGGTGGCTCAGCAGTCCCAGGGCAGACAGTACCACAGGAGTAATACACGACTTGACACTGCATAACCACATGTAAATATTATCCATGCTGAATGTTAATATATACTACTACTTACACAACGAATATTAATATAATACTACTACTTACACAAAGAATGTTAACATATAATATTACTTACACAACGAATCCCACAAAGAACATACATGGTTGCTGTACATGCCCAGCTCGATTTGCTGGTGGACATGTATGGAAGCAACATGCATGCCTCATCCTCTACCTCCCCGAGACATCCTCATCACGCCTCCAGATGTGCAGGTTATGGCAATATCGGACACAAGTTGATGTCTGGTACAGTGGACCTTGCAACAACCCATCACATGCCAAGCTACCGCAAACCCTACACTATTTAAATGTACTCACGTTGTAGTTTGAGTTGCGAGGAGATGATGCCATGACTGTGATTGCCACCTTGGACGGAGGCTCCACCGCATCACACAAGAACCTGGTCAGCAAACACATAAAAAAACACATAATAAACACATAATTTTTGGTCTGGTCTGGTGGCACCTTTGTGTATATGAAGGTTCCGGGTTCGATTCCTGGTCAGACCCCCAACATTCTTCAGGAGGTCGAGGTTTACTAACGCTGCTGAGGTGTGGAGATGAGGTCTAGTTGATGGACTGAGTTTTGCATGCTGAGATGGTGGTGATGGCTGATCTGTCTCTACTAATGTCAGGTGACTGGATGAGGAGGGGTCTAGTTGACAGGACCCAAACAGCCGTCGGTTGTACTATGTAATCAACTTTCAATATATATAGTCCATGGCCTCCCGGCTTTGATGGACCCCCCCCCTCGTGCGGCACTTGTAACTTGTAACTTGTAACATAAAAGATGAGGTCACACCATGATTGCCATAATTGACAGAAAATAGATTGGCATGCAATACTTTGCACAACATACCATGTACTCGGATCCCTTAGCTCTTTTCGAAAAGCTGCAGTGGAGGTTGCCTCAAACACACCGTTGGGTGTAAACAGCAGCACGGAGTCCAGCACAGACTTGCTACACCACACGACGGTTTTGCCCTGGCATGCCAGCCGATAAAGCAAGTAGTCCAGGAAGGTGCTCTTGCCAATACCTGCATTCAACAACAAATGGTACCCTTCTTGAAGCCTCAATGTTGAAACAGCTGCGTTTGTAAATACCCCAGACAAGGAGCTTGCCCCTTCCAAAGCCAAGGCATATTCCAAGCTTCACCATCACCCATTTCCTGGAACAGTTTAGCTCCCGAGCTCAAACCCAACACTTGCCTGGTGTGCCAAGAATGAGGACTCGGCGGGAGCGGCGATCAGGCTTCTTCTCACATGCAAAGATTTTATTGTACAGGGTGCGGTAGCATGGACGAACAAACAAAGCTGAAGATTCGTCAGGATCTGGAAACGCAGTGCCTTCTGCAAGCCTCAGGGTCTCGAATCCATCCCTGGACCTGGAAACCTTTGCATCCGGTAGCTTCTTCCAAAACTCCTCCACCAAGGGTTCCGCGCGACCTGCAGGACACACAGCAGGTTTGGGTGTACTACTTATGAAGCAACCATACCCAATTGTGCAACCTACTCCCTCCGTTTCCAAGGCGTCCACTAGGCGGCCCATGATGCTAATTGACATGTAGCTGTAGAGGCCAGCCGATGATACGCTTTAAGGACCGTTGAAAGTACCAGCACCGTTTGCGGTGCAAGCAACTTAACCTTATGTGCACAAAAGCCCAGTTTCAACATGTGCATGTAAAGCTATTGGTGATCCTGAGTCTTCCTTCGAGTGCAGTCAAGAGTGTAGTCAAGAGGCACAACACTGCCAAGGCTGTTAGCGCTTCGCTACCTATTGTTAGGAAATGAGGACACAAAGCATTTAGCTCCAAGAAGTAAGGTAAAAACGAGGTCCGACTCACCAAAGCTGGCAGCCGGTGGTGGGACAGCAGTTGCCGCAGCTGCACATCAAGGAAAAAGAGGGTGAAATACGCAGGTAGATCATTAGTTGCGAAATAGCAGGGGTGCGCTAATTGTAATGGAACACACAGCTTATCGACGGTTCAGAAGACCATCCATGATAAGCAGTGTAGCAATTTCACCCCGGGTCTGCGAGCTTCTGCGGTTGATGATGCAACAAGATCTCACCTAGCAGTTTCTCCTCAAGGTCCTTCCGGCGGGCATTCAATTCTGCGAGGGCCTGGATAATCCGACTGTACTCGCCCTTAAGGACTTTGTCCTTGGGGTTCTTGAGGAGCTCCTTTACCACTTTCCCCAGCTTTGCATTATCATCACCAACCTCGCCATTTAGGCGCTGCAGCTGCTCCTTGATCGCTTTCATGGCTGCTGAGGAAGGACAATATTTTCCTAGCTTAACTTTAGCAGATGTATCGTAATTGAGAGACTTCTGCAGTTATTTGTTAGGTAGTGGGTTGCTGTTTGTATTGTTCTGGAGTGATTCATGGGCATGCCGATAGAGGAACGCCACAGGCCTCACGGGGTCGCAATCTCGGAATTTGACCTTATAAATTCCCAAGGAATTCCGGGCCAAATCCCATTGGGATTTGAGAATTTGACCCCCAAAGCAATAAGCAATATAATGGTCATGCAAAGAATACTTCGGGCTTGGCATTTGAGGATTTGAACCCCCCAAAACAATTATCATCATGCAACATGGCCAAGCAAAGAATTCCACGCGCAGCCGTTACAATATATTGCGTATGTTCGAGCGGCATGTTATGCTCGTGCCAGTCAGTCCCCGCTCTGCATGCCCTCAAACCTTTTAGTTAGAATAGAAACCAATCCAATAGCAGCCTTTTGTACTTCCCGCTTGATGCCTTCACACGACAGATAAGACTGCAAAGCAGCTCAAATCGGCGAACTCGAATGCGGTGGGGAAGCTCCAACAGCACGCCGAGCTTGGTAGTGGCGTGAAGATCCTGTCCAAGGCGTGCACTGAGGCTCTGGAGCGCCAGGCGTGCGCTGCCTTCGTCGGTGCAGACGGGGGAGAGGGCGGGGCGGCGAATAGTGGCTATTTTCGGGGCACGCAGAACATGCGCTTTGTCACGCTGGACGGAATGGCGCACCTGGTTTCCAGGAACTGCAAAGTGGTGGCGGGGCGGGGAGTCGATTGGGTTTACAAGACGATTGCGTGGATAGGGTCAGTCCCTGCACTCAAGAAAGGGGACTGGACACACTCTCAGTGGCAGCGGGTGGTCCCACCATTGCAGGGTGCTGTGGTACTATATGGAGGTGGCGACAGGGAGGTTGGGGATGTGTGAGTGGCGAGAGTATGCTCACTCGACACGAGTAGTCGCATCTGTACATAAATGCTACCACTGTAACTTGCTGTGTGAGTTGAAGACATGATGCATTCCCAAACCTCCTGCAAGCCCCTCAACTAGAAGTCCGGAGAAGTCCGAGGTGTATACAGAGTCAATGAAAAACCGGTATTATGTCCCCATAGTCAGCCTTGTCTGTCCAAGTCAACTGTTCATGTTGTCGCCTTTGAACTCTCACACATACACCAGGCGCCGGTTCAGTGCGTCTACACATGCACTGTTCCGGTGGTGTAGCGCCAGGCGCATACAGGCCATGAAGTTGAGTTGATGGAACATTGGAACGCAATTACTACACACGACACACTCTCTGGCCATGGCCAAGTACTTGGCTCCGAGACCCGGGCCCCGAGTGGACCACAGGATGCTCCCCCTGAGGGTAAGTCGGGGTAAGGGCAAGGGGAGTACAGCATAGTTTTAGGGTTGTACGGCATTCATGTTCTGTCGGCAAAGTTTACATTTTTTGTGTTTGTCATCCAGAGTATTACATGAGATCGTACAGTGTGTGCTGCTGTGTCATATTTTGCCATGCGTGATGCCGTACACCGCCGCACCCACTTCGATGCCTTGTTATGTCGATGAGGGGCGGGCGAGCGGCAGCAGCTGCAGCTTGTAGCGCGGTCGGTTCCATGGCTGGCTGGTCCTCTTTGTCCACCTTCTTTCCTTGTTTGGGACCTACTGCTTTTCCTCCATTTTTCCTAATGCTGTCCTCTGTCATGGTGTCTTCAATTCCTTTCTTTGCCGGTTTTCGTCCTCCTGTCCTCCTTCCCAACCTCGCGCCAGCTGAATGCTTCCCCCGCTCCCAAACACTTCCTGCGGGCATCCATGCATTCTCCTCTCCCCTCCAGAATCCCCCGCACAGCCCGTCCTAACCACCAACCAACTAATTACAGCCAACTACCCTTTGTGCTGCAGGCTCAGTCGTGATTTCCACCTCCTGCCGTGGCCTCCACCTGCGCCGCCGCTCCTTACCATAAGCTGCATTGTATTCGACCCATGGCGGCTACAATGGCCCCGGATTACTTTGTGGTTGAGTGGGAGGCGCAATCCCTCGTAGCATCATGCCCCCTCAGTTGTTCGTGATGATCGTGTCATGACATCCTCGGCGGCAGCTGGAGCCATGTTGCTGTTTCTGTGCCTGTGGCATTGCCTGTGTTTCGGCCGGTGCAAATGCGACAGCAGGTAAGCAAGCCTGGGAAGCTGAGGTCTGAGATTTGAGGATGATGGACACGAGTGTGCACTTTGCCAAGAATGCCGCTGCCGCCAAGGAAGCTGCCGTACCGGTGGCAGCGACGGCGGTGCCACCTGTGGTGAGGAAGGATACTGCCAAGATCAGCAATGTGGCGGCCGGGACTGGTACGGTCGACGTGGAGTCAGTAGAGGCGGTTGTGTGCCTGAGGCCGCTGGCAGCGAGGTGTGTTCCATCTGCCTGTGCGAGTTTGAGGACAGTGACCGCATCAAATGTTTGCCAGCACATGGCTTGCATCAACCAGTTGTTGAAATGTGATATCGGGTACCTATCCACACTGCAAGGATAATGTGTGTGTGTGTGTTAATGTATTGCATGGCCTCCGGAATTTGTACAGCCCGTTGCCACCAAGGGGAGGGAGCTACAGCAAGGCCGCTGCGGTGAGGATGACGCCCCCGCCGCCACTTGAGCGGTGACGGAGGTTGGCGGCAAAGGCCAGGGCTGCATGGTGCACGGTGCTGCCAGGACTGGCAGCCGTGGTGGTGGAGTCGCCCCACATGCCGGCATTGCCAGCGGGGCACAGATCTAGATTTGGAGATGGTCATGCCAATGCCACACGGTTCTGGGTTGGTGCAGGTGTGGTGGCGGCAGGGGTGATGCTGCACTGTTACCTGTTACCTGGATGTGATATCACCTGTCCGAACTGCAAGGATAGTGTATTGCATGCACTCCGGAATTTACACAGACGTTGGCACCATGCCTCCGGCCTGAAATGGGCAAATTGTTCATTCCTGGCCTTCTCCGACATTTCTGTGTTAGGAATTCCCCCCCTCGCTTCATTGGCAGCATGGGCACATGCAGTAGATGTATCCCGGCTGTGATCTGAAGTACGGCACAACTGTACGATGACATGCCGTATATGGCATTGATGCACTGGTGTTGTTGGGTTTGGGGAGAGACTTGCGCGGGAAGTGCAGTAGTGGCGGGAGGGGGTTGCAGGGGAGGGGGAGAAAATGGTGATAATGATTCCTGCTGTCGGCGACGTTTATCGATCCGCAGCTGGTGCTGCGGGCAGCAGCCTGGTGCTTGGCCTCAAGTGCTTGCTTTCGATGACAGCTCCCCGGGGTGCATGGACTTACATCCGTTGTTGCCTCATAGGGCAACGCAGCTGGGACCTAATTCACTGACCCATGTACCTTCTGTGTATTCTCTTCTCTAATTGTCCTCATTCTAGACGCGATTGAAATTCCCCTAGGATTTTATATTGTTCACCTCGGGGCGAAGGTGAACGACTTCATTGCCTTTTTCGTTGCTCGACTACATTAGCCTGCTTGCGTTTCTATTGCTTGCATCATAGCTCTACACGCAGCAGTTGTGCTGTGCGCTGCCTGGGGTAGCAGTGCTCCCGATATGAGGTTTTCATGTGGTCTTGTACGGCAGGAAAGCAGGGGCAAACAGAGAAGGAAAAGAAGGTTGAAGTGGTTTCCGACAAGACGTCGAGGGGAAAGCGGGATGTGTGAAGTTGAAGGAAAGGGGAAGGGTTTGCTTGCTTTTGCATCTGCAGTCGAGGCTGTGGTGTGGAAAAGGAAGGCTCTAAAGCCGCCTGAAGGGGCAGCTGTAGGCGCACTAGATGGTAATTCTGCTTGGCAATGGTGGGGGGGGCAGGAGGGTGTGCCGTCTTGTTGTCTGTGTGCATGTGTGTATGTGTGTGAGGGTTCCGAGTGAAGCTGAAACAGGGGGAGCTGCGAGCGGTGTGCTCATGGTGTGTTGAGTGGTGGTTTTAATGCACAAGACATCGACGAATAGACACCTTACCCAGGTTGCAATGCCATACAGTACGACACAGTACGGGTGGTGTGACATCACTGAGGGTGGGTTGGCTGTTTCGCGTTGTTTTTGTTCAGCGAAACACAATCTGGCCCCTGTTGTTGTGGGGGTAACCTGCATGAGAGGTCACCTGAGGGTTTTGCACCATCACGGAGGTCGCAGTTTTGCTCCATCGTCCAACAAGAATAATAGCGCGCACAATAAACCGATGACGGAAATAAAAGTCGGCACGTAGTCGGCATTAGATACTTCTTTTCTCGTCGCGACATTTGTTCTCTGTGCACTTAAGGGCAATTTGCTCTGTACGGCTGTGTGTACGACAACGTACCCCCCGACGTGAGGAGCAGTGCTGCCAGCTTGAGACTCGGACAACAACACGGCATGAAGAGAATGCGGCCTAACACAGCCCCCGCACTATCATGCAACGATTTCCTGTGTCTCGATTTGAGGGGGAGTCAGAGCCAGTGCAGCTTAAAATACTTCATTCCTTTGTTCCTTTCCATTCCGTTAGCTTCTAACCGGAAACGTCCAACAAGTCTTTCGTTTTAACCGTTTAAACCGTTTATCCAACGTCCAACACGTCATGGTAAAACATGTGTGAGGTACGGCAAGCGTCAGAGTAGCCAATATCTGTGTGTTGCGGGAGGGTGGAGACCCGCGGTGTTCAACGGATGTATGAATGTGTACAAGTACCCGGACCTCCCACTTCAATTCAGCAATGACCACCACTCAGATCTCATGCCATCACAAGCTCTCATCAAACCGCCGCCAATACCCCTCACATCTGCACAGGGGGTGGAATGGGTGGGGGGTGGGAGTATCTCACTGCAAGTCCCTTAACCGTGCTTCTTGCGCAGCGCCTACCTTAGTAACGGCGACCACCACACGACTAGTAGCGGCAAGGGGTAAAACCGCCATCCGTCTACCTCCGTAGTGTAGCTCTCGATCGATGGGTGTGCGTGTGGGTCAGCAAATCTTTCATTTTTTCTTAGCGGGAAACATCTTCAGAACATTTCTCTCGAAGCATTAAAGACGACATAAAACTAGTCATTTACGCAAATTTTCACTGTCTCTCGTTCCACAACCTCCATCACGAAAGCAGGTGAGGTCAACGAACCCGATGCGAAACGTCGACGAACGGTCAATACCTAATACACGGTAAAAGAAATCGCCCTCCACGCGATGCGAAAGGAAAAGCACATCAAAAATTGGAGCAACAAAAAGATGGAAGGGCCCCTCCCCTTCCTTCGCCTCCCCCCCCACACCTTTCTCCCCTTCTTTCCTTCCCCTCTCTCTCCTCCCCCCCACACACATCACTAGAAGGCTTGGGGGTGTCCCAACTCTCGCACATCTTCTTGTTCATCTTCTTCTTACTCCGCCGCCGCCACCGTGCCACGGCCCACATAAGGCCCACATGTCCCGCGAAAGTGGTGGTTCGCAGCTTCTTGCCTCACAGAGTCCGCCACCACCACCACCACCACCACCACCACCACCACCACCACCACCACCACCACCACCACCGCCACCACCACCACCACCACCACCACCAGGCGCTGCATCCCCCCCCCTGCCCACCGAGGCACTGGGGCGCAGAGCCGTCAGCGGCATCGCTTCCAGTGCCGCTGCTGGCCAGGAACGTGGCTGGCAAAAGATAGACAGACAGATAGATAGACAGATAGATAGATACAGATAGATAGATAGATAGATACAGATAGATAGATAGATAGATAGAGCCAAGTCCCACAAATGTGGACGTATGTAGCGACACCACCACCACCACAACCACCGCCACCACCACCGCCCCAGCAGTACGTCATCTTCCAATCTGCGCATGCGGACTGAAGGAAAAGGCATGTACGGCATGTACGGCGGGCAAGCACGCAGGAAACATGTATTTCTCCTTTTTTTAAGGGAGATTCGCACGCCGGTGTGTCTGCCTGTCTGTCTGTCTGTCCCGTGTGAGTGTGCGTGCGTGTGTGTCAGTGTACAGCAACCGAAATTCCGTTGGCAGTAGCCTCCACCGTCCCCTTCCCCCAACATGCACATGTGCACACACATACATACACACACATACACACACACGCCCACCGTAACTGAATCCCACCGCCACCATTCAAACACAGAATGCAGAACACACGCATGCATGCACATACATACATATATACATACATACATACGCACGAACAAAAACGGCGGTATTCACAGGCGGGCGGGTACTACGACACCACGCATGGACCAGACACGAGACAGCACGAGACAGCACGGGATGCACGGGAGCAAAGCCGCACGTATCCATGATCGTCTCGGCGCCACCAACGGCCCAAGCAACGGCATCAGCGCGAATCAGCAGCGCGTGTTTTCTTCTTTTGTTTGTTCTCAAAGCAAAGCAAAGCAACGCAAAAAAGCGACTGGACTGGACATTCTTAAACCAGCATGAAAAGCTGATTACCGAAGGACGGCGAACTTACCGGACCCAACCAAAAAGTCCAGACACAGCTTCCTCGCGCCGTCACCGCCGTAGACAGCCCAACCACCCAAACAACGAACTAAACGCCAACCGCTGGCAACTGCCAACCGCTCCTATTCCTCCTCTTTTGCGTCTTGAGACCGAGTGTCAGGCAGCGGAGACACAACGACAACAGACCCCGGGGGAAACATCCCAACAAACGCCGATGCCGAGATGCCTTTCGGAGCCAGGCGGCGCCTAAAGTAGGCGCAATACCATCCCTAGCCAGCACCGAGTTTCCTCCACGGCTGCTGCAAGTGACGATGCGAGTACGTTGCCGACGCCGCCGGGCCCCCCGCCCCGGGGTCCTCAGACTGTGCCGCCGCCGCCGACCACGCCGCCGGCGATGGATATCTCTGCGGCTGGGGGCTGTTGAAATTCGCCTGAGCACCCGGCCCCGTAAATAAGCTCCGGCGAGCCTCGGGCGTATTCGCACGACCCCACCCGGCGCCGGGGCCGCCGCCGGCGCCAACGGTGGCGGCGCAGCCGCCGGCGTACGTCCCTGCCGTACGCTTCAAATGGACCTTGTACGGCATCAAGGCCTCCGACAACGCCGACATGCCGCCAGGGGCCGCCTTGGCCGCCGCTGCTGCTGCTGCTGCCGCTGTGGCTGCTGCTGCTGCCGTTGATGATGATGATGGCAGCGGTGCCGCCGGCGCCGTCATGGGTGACATGGTAGGACCTGGAGGCCAGGCTGTTCGATGCCTTTGCTGTCGACCAACATTATGTGGCAAGGGGCTGACGCTGCGGGCAGGCGCTGGCAACGGTAGTGGGGCGCTATGGGTAATGCTGTTGCTGCTACTGCCGATCAGACCGGTGGCGGCGGCGGCTCCGGCGGCGATGCCACTGCCCGTGGTGGTTCTGCTGCTACGCGCTTGGGACGGTACCGCGGCGGAAGGTCTGTCCAAACTGGATCGACCCGTCGTTCTGGCGGTCCCGTTGGGAGCAGTAGCAGAAGATTTCGAGGCCGCTGCCGCCGCCGCCGCCGCCGCTGGGCCCCCCATCGCGGACTCCCGTGGCGTGGGTTCTTGAGAAACACAGAACACGTCGGTGTCGGATTCATGGTCGAATACAGCCGCATAAGCGAAGGGCAAGTCGCCGCCGCCGCGACCCCGCGATGGCGGCACCGCCGGCGGCGGCGGGGGCGCACCTGGCCGCTGCCGCTGCAGCGGCGGTTGCTGCGGCGGTTGTTGCAACTGCGGCTGCTGCTGCGGCGGCGGCGGCCATAACCGCGGCGTCGCGGCCGTTGCTACAGCCTGCTCCAGCAGCCGTACATGCTCCTCCAGCTCGTCGTCGCTGCTGCCGTATCCGTTCGTACGGCCTGCAGCCGCCGTCGCCGCCACCGCCGCCGAGGGTGCACCGTTTGTCCTTGCCCGTCCCGGACTCCGAAAACCGCCATCGCCTCCCCCTCCGCCAACAATCATGGTCCCGCCCGCTGTATCGGCTGTGCAGCGCCCGCCGCCGCCAGCGCCTGCAGTACTGCCATTTGAAGCGGTGCCTAATGCGAGTCCTGGATGCTCCTGCAGCTGCTGCCGCTGCTGTAGTTTCTGTTCGTGTTGCGGCTGCCGCGGTGCTCCAAGTGTTCCCCGAGGACTGAGCCTCGCCGTCGCCTCGCCTCCGCCGCCTCCGCCACCATTGCGGGATGCATCGCCACCGTCGCTGAAGTCGTCGTCAAAGCGCAATGCAATTTTGGATTCCTGGGCCGGTACCAAGTCGCCCTCGCTGCCGCCACCGCCACCGGCGCCGCCGCTACTGCCGGCGCGCCGCGGACTGACGTCTCGGCCCCCGGCCCCAATATGCGAAGATCCGTCGTCACACCACATTATCTGAGATTGCTGCTGCTGCGGTGGCGGC